TAAACATTGAGTTTTCAATAGATCAAAATAGCTTTAATTCCTGGCTCAACCACAGAGGTAAAATAGAAGACTTTCCCTTTGTAGTTTTAAAACCTTGAGCTTTCAAATGGGAGATACCCTTCTCTTCGGGGGTCTTGGACAGTTGAAAGACCATTGGTTTTCCTCCTTCTTTGGGAGGTATTTTTAAATCCTTTCAAGAGTGTTCTTACTTATAGTGATTTTTCCATTTATGTGCCAGTGGTCCCCTGGATTGCTGAGGGGCACCGGTGTACTCAGGAATTGTATGAGTTACAGGGACAACACAGCAGTGGACAGGGCAGTGGATGGAAGGAATCTTCTGTTCTAGGCCAGGTCATGAAGTAGCCACGTGGCCCAGGCCAAGTCAAAGTGCGGAGCTTCTTATGTAGAAAGAAGAGACTGGACCCAGTGGCCCTTAGCCCCTGTATGTCACGTGGCCTGGGTTTACTGATGGCCTCTCACAGTACCCTGGTGAGGGGAGAAGGATGGGAGGCCAGACTCAGTCCCTCTGATTCTTTGGGGAGCCCTCAACTCTGGAATTTTATTTAACTGGCCTGGAAACCACTCAACCTCAGAGCAAAGACTAAAAATAGCTGTTAGAACTCAGTGCTTTTTCAAAAATTTCTTTTCAAATGAGAGTGGCAACTTTGCAGCTAGGGATAGAGATTATATCCAGGCTTATGAATAAAGGAGACCCTGAGTCCTCTCACCTTGTTAAGCAAGGCAGGCAGGAAAGTGAGAATCACTGGGGCTCAGTGAATGGGAAGAAATAGTGGCAACTGGTGCCAAGTTTCCTTACCCTACGGAAGCCAAAGAGGTTAGCTAATGGTGAAAGCAGGTGCACTTCAAAAGAATACAAAGGGCAGACAGGGAAATGCCTGGGCCCAAAACCAGATTAAGCTAGGTAAACAGACCTTTTGAGGAGTTGCCAGTAGCTAGTCTGCACTCCGTGGCACCTGGTCTGTTCCCTGGGCTAGAGCCCGAACCCACTAAGGCTGGCATTACACTTTGTAGTTTTTTTTTTTTTTTTTTCCATTTTCATTCAGCGATACCCTGAACTTGTTAAATAGACCTGGAAAGGCATAAGTTTCTGAGTGTTCTATAACTTAAAAAAAAAAATTTTTTTTAAATTTGAGATGGAGTCTCGCTCTGTCCCCACGCTGAAGTGCAGTGGTATGATCTTGGTTCACTGTAACCTCTGCCTTCCTCTGTGTTCAAGTGATTCTCTTGCCTCAGCCTCCCAAGTGGCTGGGATTACAGGTGTGCACCACCACACCCTGTTCACTTTTGTATTTTTAGTAGAGATGGGGTTTTGTCATGTTGGCCAGGCTGGTCTTGAACTCCTGACCTCAGGTGATCCTCATGCCTCGGCCTTCCAAAGTGCTGGATTACAGGTGTGAGCCACTGCACCCAGCCTAGTCCTTGAGTTTTCTCATCAGGAATTTTCATACCTGTTTTGTCACTAAGAAGACAGATAATGGCGATGTAATAGACTAAGTTGGATTGTTTCTCAGGGTTTCTACCCATGTAGAGTGTAGGACTTCCTGTGGACTTCAACAGCCTGAGTGTAGCCTCTCAGAAACATAGCGCTTCTCTGGCTAAAGCTACAGAGAATGTCTGGGCATGCTTGTGTCTGTTCCTGCTCGGGGCGCCAGAGTAAGGCTGGCAAATATGATGCCTTGCTTTTAAACAGGCCTGAGGTGGAAGAAAAGCCAGTTTAGTGGTGTCCCTGCCCAGCACTGCTTTGACCAGATCCTCCTCCACCATGGCTCAAGGCCATCCCTGGCTTTTAAAAAGCTGTAAAATCACTTTTTTTTTTTCCTCAAGTATGTTCATTTGTTTTCCTGAGCCACCACTTTAATTTCTTCATTGGTATTTGTTACTGTAGTCTGCAGTATTTTCAGAGCAAACAGGGAGGTAGAACCCTCTTAGAAGATTTGCAGATACTTGCTTTACTCTTGAGGCCTTATTTTCAGTCATTATTGAGTTAAAAACAAAAAAGAACAGGCACAGTGACTCATGCCTGTAATCCCAGCACTTTGGGAGGCCGAGGCTGGTAGATCACTTGAGGTTAGGAGTTCGAGACCAGCCTGGCCAACATAGGGGAACCCTGCCTCTACTGAAAATACAAAACTTAGCCAGGCATGCTGGTGAGCACCTATAGTCTCAGCTACTCAGGAGGCTGAGGCAGGAGAATAGCTTGAACCTCAGGAGGTGGAGGTTGCAGTGAGCCAAGATCACGCCATTGTGCTCCAGCCTGGGCAACAGAGCAAGAGTGTCTCCAAAAAAAAAAAAAAAAAAGAATTTGTCAATGTCTGCTGGTTGGACTTTCCTAAGGCCTCATCTCTTCCCCTAAACACTTAGGGACAAATTTATGAAATACCTGTCCAGGTCAAATAAGGCATGAATGCAAAGAGCTTACCACATCGTCTTCCGTCCATGCACCAATCTCAAAGGAAGGCAGCAGCTGTGTGGGAAATATGCATGAAATGAAAAAAAAAAGTAATATTATCATTGTCTTTTTGGTTCATCCTCTTGTCCCACTCTTAGCTCTCAGCTGCTGTTCTGGCTTGGTTCCTCCTGCAGGCTGAGTTGGATGGAAAACAGTTTCCTGAGGCAGCTCTCAGTGCTGCAGTAATATACGCGTCTCTCAGTAACAATTCATTGTACTTTGGGAACGGTTTCGTATTCCTCTGTTGCTACATGGCATCCCAAGAGTGGGTTTTACATCCCACAATAAGGCCTTAGCAGTCAAGGAATTTCTGACATTTTCTCAGAGACCAGAGCCTTCCTCAGAGTTCTCAGCCAACATGAAGACTGTTGGGTTATTAATGAAAATTCCAAAGCAACCGCTAGGTATCCAGATGATGTATTATGCCTATTCTCACGGGGGAGTTTATAAGTGTTTAAAGATCTCCTTTGCATAACATTATAAAAACCAAATGTTAGCACCCACAGATGAGAAAGGATATGGGAAAGTGGTATTGTCCTAAGAAACCCAGGCTGCTGAGCTGCTCTAACTAAAACAGATTAAAATACCTCGCTGCAGGTTCACAAGTAAGAATGAAGATGTCTCCAGAGGACTTCAGCCTGCACCATTTTCAGAGCCAAAGAGCTACTTGCTCTCTTCAATATATGCCCCCATCTGAATAATAAATGCTTACATAATTTTTAGAAGTCTGCATGCCCTATAAGTCAAATTAGAGTTTGGGACAGCTATTAGCTTTAACTAGCCTAACTTGCCCCCAAAAATGGATTGCTCATGAGATAACATGGCAAAGTGTCATTCATCTTCTGTTACAAATAATATTTTCTTGTAAGTTAAAAAAAAAAAGATGTTGAATTTGGTTGCTTTTACTATTAGTATAAAAATCAGAGGGTAGGTGAGTTAACCTTTCTAGCTTGTAGGTATTTTGTACTCACATGGTCAAAATTCTGCTAGGAAAGCCACAGCCCCTGCATTCAAGGAGGTTTTAATTTAACTGGGGCAAATACAGGTAAAAATTACACGTGGGGAACTCCAGGGCTACCTGAATCTTGGTTTACTTAATGCCTAACATAGTGCCTGGCATACGATATCTGATAAATTTTTGTTGAGTCATTTTGCGAAATGAATAAAACGGTGCATTTACTGAAATGCTCAGTTCTCTGGTATAGAGTTCAATGTCTCCGGGTATACCATAGACAGATGTATTCACAGAGGGATTCATAGAATAAGATGGGAGAATGGAAGGCAGCATGGCTTGAACTGAGTCCTGCAGGGCAAGAAGAGAGGTGATTCCGGGTAGAGAGAAGCAACAAGGCAAAACCTGGCATGGTGGCAGAGGGAGGGACAGGAGGGAAGGATGGGCATGGGAAGCAATGGTTGGAGGAAAAAGGAGAACTGAGGCAGACAGGGCAGGGAGGCAAGCCGAAAAATCCACTGGATGGAATGGAGATGATGTGTTGGGTTTGATATTTACAGACAAGTTGCCAGGACACACTGAAATCGATCCTGTTCTGTGTATACTCTGCTACCTGCATGTGCTTCCATTCCCTCCAGGGTTGCCCTTGCCTCCTGGGAAACACTTGAGGTGGGTAGGAATCATTAAATACACTCACCTGCTTTAATAATGGGGCAAGGAGAAAGACTTGAGGAACAGAATCTAAAGCTGAAGTGGATCAAAGAAACTACATGACAATTTTATCTCTTCACAGGGCAGCTGGACACAGCTGCAGAATCATGCCATTCCCTTCTCCCATCACGGAAGCAAATGTAAAATATGGAACTTTTTTTATTCATTCAAGAAACAACAGACTGAGTTACAGAAATATTTTCCTGCATCAAGGCTCACTTTTATAGAAACCGGGATGGGAGGAGGGGATGTGTAGTGTTATTTTTATAAAATTCCCAAATGTTGTGCTAAACAAAATTGAGAAATAAGTATTTTTTGAATAGAATAGAAGTTGTAAATGAAATAACTAATCAAAACCAGCATCTTTGGTTTTAATGTCAAAAGGAGAGGGGGTTAGTTGCATGCTGAGGATGGTTTTCCAGTACGATGCCTTGGGAAAGGCACTGGGTTCAGCTGGATACTCACTCCAGCAGGATTCTTTGCACAATGCTTGCAAAGATCAGTGAGAGGAAGGCTGGAGCCAGACACTGCTTCATGATGATTTGAATTTGGCAAGACAGGGGATAAGAGTTAATGATCTCCAGCCACAGAGTGGCTTACCATTTCCTTTATGTTTTCTGTACCTTGTTAACATATCAGTGTATCTGCAGTAGGGTGAGTTCTAAGCCTGCCTTTCTTTTGGGAATGAAAAACAATCCACCCCGTAACTGTCCCATCACTTTACAAATTTATTATTTACACTCCCACTGACTTTAGGAGAGAAAAGCTAACACTTGTGTGCATAGGTGTGACCACGATTCCTTCAAAGGATGTTGGGAATCCACTCTAACAGAGATCTTACATACACAGCAACACATAACAAAGGGATTTACTGTCAAAACGTTTATTGCAAAATGGAGTCTTAGAACAAAGGAAAGCAAAGAAAAGTTCACATCAAAATGAAATGTATGACACCAACTTGAATTTCTGAATACACTGTGGACTTTGTGCTGGAATATCAAATTCCAGCTATAAAATCAGTAACTGAATAGTCTTACCACACAAGAGTAAAATTTAATCTTCCATACAAACATTATACAAGATATTTGGCATAGGACTTGCTCAGAATAACATTGCAATAGAATAACTGAGAAAGTTTTTGCTAAAAAAACAATAAAGTGATAATGCCATCTATTCAAAGCTCACACTCAAAGAACATAAATATTTCCTATTAGTACAAAAATTGTAAGAGTGCAAAAGCAATTGTGCAGTGTATCGTATCTGACATTAGAAGATATAGTATTCTGCACACAATATAAAATAATTAATGTAGGTGCTTGGAACTCTCATTTTGAAGTAAATAATCACATGCCAGAAAGCTCCTCACAAGGCAACAGAGTGCAAACAAAGGTGGAGTCTGAGAAAACATGGCTAGTCTTCTAGATTTCCTGATAGACACTCACTTTTCATCATAGAAATGCTGTATCTAGAGCTGTCAGGCTATGTTACAATCGAGAGAAGAGAGCAGATTCTTCTGTTTGGAAATGCTTAACACCTAAAGAGGAAAACAGTCTTACTCAAAAGCAGCAAAAGGTGCCTGATTATAGAAAATGTATGCTCTATTATATATGTGGTATGAAACTCTGCTACTTTCAAAAGGCTGCAACAAGTCTAGTAAAATAAAAATTTTTAAAGTATTAATATTTAACCCAGAGTAAGTTTTAAAACTGTCTTTCATAAAACTCTTAACCATTCTAATGAAAACTCCGAAAAGTAAAGATATATACACAGTAATTCTGGGAGAAGTCATTCTGGATCACTTCTAAACCCTCCTTCACTCCCAATTCCTTGATTTTTCATGGGGATCAAGTTTGACTACCTTTGCTAGTGTTAACAAGTCTAACAAATGCACTGCATGTTAAAAATCACTGGCTAAGAACCTGCCCTCAGCATTCCAGAGCACCAAAAACAGGGAGCTACATGCTTTCAACTTCTTTTCACTGGTTATGTAAAATAGTAAAATGTAATTTTGCTTTCAAAAAATGACGGGTAGACAAAGGCGCCTTTAAATTAACCTGTAGAATTGTAGCTACCTCAACAAGTTTTTTTTTTTTTCTTATTTATTGTGGAATCAGTGCAATGGGTGAGTGGCCTGCCCTGGTGGATTGGGCTGTTTCATCAAGTTTCCACCAGCATTCCTAAGAAGAAAGAAGCAATTTCCCCTTAGGGAAATGGTGATTTATGATAAAGCCACAAACTCACAAAATTCAGATAGTGTGTTGCTGTAATTCCAAAAATACGTTTTTTCGACTTGGGTAATTTTGATCAGGGGAAAAATAATTAGACACAAAACTAAAGCTTCTCGATTTGATAAATTTATCACTGGGGAAGGGACAAGGCTGCTTGTATTTTGTTTTGGGTGTTTTTTTTTGAGACAAAGTCTCACTCTGTCATCCAGGCTGGAGTGTAGTGGTATAATCTCAGCTCACTGCAACCTCCCTCTCCTGAGTTCAAGCAATTCTCCTGCCTCAGCCTCCTGAGTAGCTGGGATTACAGGCATGCGCCACCACGCCCAGCTAACTTTTGTAGTTTTAGTAGCAACAGGGTTTCACCATGTTGGCCAGGCTGTTCTCGAACCCCTGACCTCAGGTGACCTGCCCACCTTGGACTCCCAAAGTGCTGGGATTACAGGTGTGAGCCACCGCGCCCAGCCTATTTTGAATGGAAGACTTTACTGAACAAACTGTCCCTGGAATTCATAATGTTACTATTCCTGGCACTGGGCACCCAATGCCACCCTAGTTGCTATGACAACCAAAAATGTGCCCTAGCCCCAACACTTCCAAACACCATTAGCCGACAGCACGACCTCCGTTGAGAACCACTAGGAGGGTCTCATCAAATTCTACAAGATGAACTTTATGAATTAAGAAAAAAAGATGAAAGGTGAGACATTTTCAGTTGCATGTCTCCGATAATTATTACCACAATTGAGAAGCAATTCTCCTTTTGAATTTTTACATTTCTCACTGTTTCTTTTAACCCTTCTCTTCCTAAACGTACAATTTTGTAAATCAAGTAACTGGAACTAAATCCAACACTGATAACTGCCATTTCAAAAATTGATCTGAAAAGTGAATTAGAAGCTTTACAATTAATATCGTCATTAGAAATTCTGCATACGGCTAATAAATATTCCTTTTTAAAATTAATAGAGTCTAAAGTCTTCCAAATGATCTTTACAGGTAGAGTGAGAACACTATAAAATTCCGGTTATATGATTTAGATTTCAGGGATGTTTTAACATTTTCAAACCACAAGAAGGACACTGATTTGGAATGCAAAGTCAAAGAGCCAATGTCATGTGTTAATGATCAGTAGTTCTACGTGGAGAACAATTTTAAGCTCTTCACTGTGGCCCTTTCTGCTGTACTCTAAATCCCTGCAGGTTCTTCTTGATGGTAAAGTATTGAGCTATGAGCATCTCTAGAATACTGGTGAGGAAAATATTACCTAATTAATGATAAAGTTAGGTCCAGCATAGAGTCCTATTATTTTTCTCTTTGGCCCTATTTGACTGCTTTTATTAATGCGTCAGAACTTTGTGTTTAATCATATAGATTTATATATAAATTAAGAAAACAATGTCCATTTCATTCAGTTCATATGTTCTAAATGTATTGCTGACCATTCTTAAATGAGAAGCAAGGTTTGCATTCTTATATAAAGTGCACAAACCCTGAAGTTAGCCCAGGGATCCCCTTGCCTTTTTCAGCCTTGCTCAAATGTTACCTTATCAGTGGGGCCTTTCCTGACCATACTTTATAAACCTCAACACTCACCCATGGGCCTTATCCTCCTTCCCTGCTTCACTTTTTGGCATGTACTTACCAAATGTGAACATATGCCTTTGCTTTGCTTAGCACTCACTGGCAAGTAAAATATGTGAGTGCAAAGATTTTCATCTAGCTATCTTCCAGAACAGTGTCTGGCACAGAGAAGGAACTCAATGAATGTGTTAAATGAATGACTGTATCTTTGCCTTGTAAACCCCATGCTATCGGCTCTCTCGTCAGGCGGCTGACTATTGCATCCCAGGGCATGCTGGAAAGACAGGAGTCCCAAGCCTTCCCTTTTGCTCTACTCCAAGCTTTTCTGCTTGGGCGTACTGACTAGAGTCAGGTAGTACTTCTCTATGTCTGAGCACAGACAAGCTGTGTGCATGTATTTGTATATATGTGTGAATAGACAGAGAAACTAGTAGCATGGGTATGTGGGGAATCCATCTTTCAGGGAAAGGTTTACCTACTCTTTTTGTGTTTAGTCTCATTTCATACCAGGTTAACCTGGCCAGGGCTCATAGTTTTAAAGAGCAACAGAAGAAATGTGTTTAGCTTACATTCTACGAATGTTCTCTTTATCTTTCCTGAAAGCTATCCACTTTTAATTTCATCTCATACTACAGAGAAAATATTATTTGAAACTGATAGTTTAGTTTTCCAGAAGGGTGCTGAAATCACTTACTTTTCAGTGTCTTCACTGGCACTATTCATAGTCGCTCACGTTAACTAGCCACTTTCCATGGGCCTGGGGCTGTGCGAAGTGCTTTACATTGATCATTTCTTTTAATCCATACAATGATCCTTTCAAGTAGATACTATTAGCATTCCCATGTTGCAGATGAGCAGACAGACACATGGGGGTTAAATAATTTGCCCAAGGTTATAGAGTAACGGCCCGGGATTCTGAGTGACAGCTGGACTCCGATCTCCTTCTTCATCACTATGCCACCTAGACTGCTGTACACCTCTCACCCAGAACACTCTATTAGTTATTTCTCCCCAAATGAAACTGGCACAGCATACCGATCATTATGTGGTATTTTTTAGCTCTCAATAGGCATTAGAAGCCTATCACATTTCAAAGTCCAAGAGGTTTTAACGATCAAATATAGTCAGAAATACTATTAGATCATAGCTGTGACGACGTCCTTTCTTAAACGTCATAAAAAGAACCACCAAAAATATTTTGGCTTAATAGTTTTATAATTTAAACAAGCTTTGACAAATCGGTGATAACATTCTGAGAATATTCCTGGCTAGCCAGGTTTTCAGAGCAATGCCTGCATCTACTCCTAAAATGGCAACATCATGAAGCAGAGTTGAAACACAGAACGACTCCGGAAGGCTAAACTTGATATGGGAAGGACCTATGCTTTTGCCTCGGTGAGGATGATTTATCTCAACTATTTCTTTTATAAGATTTAATTTCCTCTTTAAAATAGCTATACATATGTTTAGAATCCAGGATTATTATGCCTTCTAAAAAACAAACAAGCATGCATATACCCCACTTACTGGAAAATCCAGGAGAGGCATGAGCTTACCCCCCTGGAAGCATCCCCTTAAGACCACATCTTTCTCTCTGTATAAAGCACAAGCATAGCCCTAAATGACAGTGTGGTGCTGTTAAGAAGCTTCCATGGCCAGCAGTTGTATGAAAGTTTGCAACATCTGCTGTTGGTTTCATATTAGAGTATTTTTCCTTCAACTGTACGACTGAGAACACTGCTCAGGCTTTACATTGAGCAGCTGTGCTCTTTAGTACTAAACATTCTCCGTACTTAGGTATTTCTGAAGAACATTTTGTTATAATCTTTTTTCATCTCAGTATTTTTGTTGTTGGATTTTGTACTATCAATTCTTTGTTTTTGTGTCTTTTTTTTCTTTTTGAGACAGGATCTTGTTCTCTTGCCCAGTGTGGAGTGCAGTGGTGCCATCATGGCTTACTGCAGCCCTGACTGACTGCTAGGTCTCAAGCGATCCTCCTGCCTTGGCTTCCCAAGTATCTGGGACTACAGGTGCATGCTACCATGTCAGCTAATTTTGTAATTAGTAGTAGACACGAGGTCTTACTATGTTGCTCAGGCCAACCATTTCTGATACTACAGTGTATTGCTAAAAGAAAAAAAAGCATGTCACAGAAATTATTAAGTGTAAAGAATTAGGAGTTAAGAGTTCTTGTTCCAAATGTCAGTTTTTAGAAACGATTTGAATAAAGGAAATAAAGTCAAATACAAACTAAAAAGTATTCATTTAAAAAGAAAAAGCCAGAATGCCACTACTTTAAAACTCCTATATTGTATTGTATACAGAATCACAAGTTTCTATAATCAGGCACCACATTTGCTGATTCATAAACATACTTTTTTTGGCTTAATTTTCCCATTTTTCTGAAAGCAAAAAAAAAAAAAAGTAGAATTGATAAGAAATTATGGTCATGTAAATGTGATTGGCCTAAAAATGCGGTGCTCGGTTTTCTGCCTCCTTACTGGTTTTTGTACAGACTTGAGATAACAAGTTAGTTTTGTTTTTTTTTCCAAACATTTTCAATTTTATTACTTTGCTTTTCGCTTTCATTCACTATTAGCAATGTCATTATCCTCCTCCTCACCGTCATCATCATCATCATCATCATCGTCACCTTCTGACAAGTCAAAATCACTGAACCCCAGAGCCATGTTGACTTTCTTCCCCCTTCTCTTAGATGTGGTTTTGGAAGAATTCTGCTTGGCTTGCATGTTTATCTGCATCCCAGAATGCATCACAGCTCCTGCTTTGTTCATTGAGAAGATATCCCCAAAGCCCATCAGCATCATGGCCTGCAGACTTGGGTTCATGCCATGGCCCTCCCCGTTACTTGTTGCTGTGATCTGACATGACATCTCTGCACTGTTTGACTCCTCTGTTTTAGATTCAAAGTAAGACTCCTCAGACATTCTTGCAGCAAGAGGCAAGAGAAGCTATCAAAAGGGAAGAAAGGACAGAAGTAAAAAGAGAAATTAGGACCAATTTAAATCAGGAAAACAGATACCACAAAATTAGTTGGCACTACACAGGAGGTAAATGATTAGTGAAATAAATGAAGGTAGGGAATTATGTGAGAATTTATTTATTGGCAGATTTGGCTCCAGCGTATTTGCCATAATTTATGAAAGGATGACTCACAACCAAAAGTTTGCAAAGCACCACAGCAAGCCAAATGTCAAACGGAAACGAAGTTGCAAGTTTTAAGCCCTCATTTTGCTTACAACAAAATAGTTTTTAGGATTTATCTTAATTTTTCCCAATTTCATTTTCACACAGAAACATTTAGTTAAGCATTATATTTTTTAAAAAAGAAATTAAGCAGAGATTCAATCTCAAATGAAAAGAAACCTTGTACCAAAAAGAAAAGCTTAGAGGAAGCACAAAAACAGTTCAGCAGTCAATACAGTTCTAGAGAAATGTGGGTTGTCAACTACCTTTTTATCTGGATTAGAACTCTGAACATACACTAAAAATCAGTCTAGAATTCACTTGCTTCCACTTGTTTATCTATAGTAGCCAGAACTGATATAATACTATTAATTCAGGCCGGGCGCGGTGGCTCACGCCTGTAATCCCAGCACTTTGGGAGGCTGAGGCGGGCGGATCACAAGGTCAAGAGATTGAGATCATCCTGGCCAACACAGTGAAACCATCTCTACTAAAACACAAAAATTAGCTGGGCATGGTGGCGTGCGCCTGTAGTCTCAGCTACTCGGGAGGCTGAGGCAGGAGAACTGCTTGAAGCCGGGAGGCAGAGGTTGCAGTGAGCTGAGATTACACAACTGCACTCCAGCCTGGCACCTGGCAAAAAAGCGGGACTCTGTCTCCAAAAAAAAAAAAGAAAAAAAAAAATTATTCAAATGATTAAATAATTGTGAACAAATTCTAGATTCTGTCTCTCACATTTAAGTTAGACTTGAGTATGTAAACACATGAAAACAGGGAAGAAAGGAAAATAGTGTCAATTGAGATCGTTCTAATATGCTTTAATATTCAAGTTTTCTTCTTTAACAGAACACTTTTTCTAAGATGTCACCATTCACAGTGGTCACAGACATTTATTTTCTACTTTATGTAATTATTTCGAACAGCCAGCTTATTCTCATAAATGTTTGGGCATATCCATTTCAGGGGTAAAACTGTTAGGATATGAAAAATGTTACTGCCTCTTTTGAGAAATATGCAAATCAAGGCTTAAATTTTTGGCATAGTTTAAACATGGATACACTTATGATAAATAATGTAAAAATAATATACTGGCATGACCTGTACATCCTGGTGTCTAATATTCAGGATCAATTTTCTAATTTTTAAACTGAAGTTGGAGCTGAGTTTTTAAAAATTAGCTCACTCTTTTGGGAAAAACCCTTCTGGAGTTGTTAGTTCAATAACTTTAATTTCATATAATTCAACCGAAAAGTATCTGTTACATGGAAGAAAACAATTGCATTAGGTCTTAAACATTAGAAACAAGATGTTATTTTCCTGGCAGTCAAACTCCTCAGCTTCTGGAATTTGTTTTCAATTGTTAGATATTCTCAGGGACTCTTTGTGGCTTGTTGTATTATTTTGAGGGTCCTTCCTCACATTAGGTTTGACTCTAAAGTTCTCTATGAATGTTTCTCAGATAAGCTTCTATTGTTAAAAGAAATAAAATTTTACATTAAGCTTCAACTATAATTAGAAAATAAACATTATCCATATTAATGCATAAAGGATTAATCTCCCCAAATATCCTTAACTAATGTTTTAGTTTTAGGAAAGAAAATAGTGTCCTTGAAATGAATTCAATGATACAGTTTTTTATGAAGTTACATAAATGTTAAACTCATATAATTAAGATGAGGCCACATACAGGAAACCTAAACCTCCAGCCTCTTCCTTTTTAAAAGGTTTATTTCATCTTTCTCTAAGACATCTATTAAAGCCAAACAGAAACTGATGTGAGGACAAAAGAAAATACCTACTTACAAAATATCTGAACATAAACTTTCTTTCCTTCAGAAATACCAGCTCTAAGCAGAAGAGACATTAAAAGCAAGTACTGTAAAGAAAGAAAACTTATCTCCCATAAGGAAAAAAGAAGAAAATCTCCTTGAGATTGTGCTGCGGGCTGTCCATTGTTAGATGGTAGCCCTCAAAGCAGTTCCTTCACAGAAAGTTTTCTGGAGTTAAAAACTCAAGCAGGCAACCCACAGAGCACACAGTGCTTTATTGTTTATTATGCAACTATGTTACTAACAGCAATAATGTGTGCTAGGCAGCCCATAATTTCTTAGCAAAATGATGCCAATAAACTAAAGAGAGGCTCTGAAGCATATGCGAATGGGTAAAGTTTTTTCTTAAAATACTACATTTAGAAAGAGTCAGGCCATGCAGTGCTCTACAGCTTTAGATTTCAATGCATTTTACACAAAACAAAACCAAACCTCGCAGCCTTCAGAAGCTGTACTCTAGGGACGAGGTCACATTTTTGCTTCCGTCCCTCATGAGCTCTGGGAGAAGCAGTGCTCCCGTGCAGGTCCCTAGAGGGAAGCTTTCAGAGGCTGCCTGCTGGCATCAAGTCAGCCAGAACGGGAAACTTCTCTCATCGTCTTTCTCACCAGCCAAGTTAAATTCCCAGATAATATGTGGGTACTTTTTAAATGTTCCATGATAGTGTTATGGATAGCAATTCAATTCATTTTGGAATTCCCTGGAGAACCGAAGTCCTTTTTCCAAGTTGGATCTGATAATAAATATTTAGCTTCATTGTATTTTCCTTTTTTGGATTTCAGGTTGCTTCTCCACACAAGTTGGGAAGGAGACAAACTATTTTATTCTTTAGATGCTAGAAAATATTTTGCAATTGGGCACTGGCTGCTTAATGAAGATTAAGACTTTTAAAGATGGGAAAGCTTTTTGCAGACCACGAAATAAATGGCATTTCAGTTTTTCTTTTTTTTTTTTTGGCATAATCACCATAGCAACTATCAAACATGAATTTAAAATGTATGTTTTCTTTTAATCTACCATTACTTGGTTAATTTTAAGTGAACAAATATTGCCCACTAAAAACCCTGGGGAAAAAACAATTACACATTTATACTTAATTCCTGAAAATATGCCATTTAAAATAGGAAAGAATGCTGAAATTTGATTAGACTTTAATAATATCATATCAGCATGTAAGCTCAAGGTTAGTGTATAACCAGTGAAATCCTTAAAAAGAATTTTTATATTCCTCTAAATACAAGACTTGGGATAAAACAAGATACTGCCTAGGTGTAATAAATACTGAAAGCTTGTCCAGAGAGAATCTTTTCCCAATATTTTGCTGTCCATGATTGTAACACTAAATTGAATATGAAATATTAATGCTTCTCATTTGTATGTCATCATGGTTAGCTCCATTTTAGAAGGAAAACACGGTTAAGTTCTGACACATCAAAGACTGTTAGTCGGCGAGCTGCTGGAGTTACAGTTATTAATGACTGAGCGACTAGGAGCTAATCAGCACTGAGGTGCATGTTCTGAGATTGAGCAGATGGTGTGAAAATACATCGGATTTTATTTTTGTAATTCTAATATATAAACACACTGACAGAATAACAGTTCTTAAGGAAGGAGCCAGAAATAGGATAAGCTTTTCTCTTACATCTCTGGCATTTTGTTAGTTGAAATTGGGTATGAACGCTGCTTGAGTACACACACAGGCCCTTTAATATACCCAGGCATGGGGCAGGAAATGAGGGGGCGGCGGGAGGCAGGGTAACAGGTGCCATGCTGCCATGCTCGGCCGCGCAGTCTACGAGCTGCATGTGGAAAGACAGCAAAGAGGGAGGATACTCACCGGGGTGTTGGACTGCTCGGTCAGCTTTTGCTCCCACATCTTTAAACGTCTTTCTCGTTCTTTAAGCTCCTGCTCCTTAAAGCTGAGATCACGCTCTAGTTTCTTTAGCCTCTCAAGAGTTGCCTCAATTTCACACCTGCATAGGGATAGCTGGTTTCAGTCTCGACTTTACTTAAGAGATATCAGACGCTTAGTGGGTCCATTAGAATGCTAACCAAAGTGAAAGACAAATGCTGGTGCTTTAAAATCAACCAGGAAACTGCCGGAGGAGAAGGAATCTTTCATGTCCTTAAATATCACGAGGTAGTTTCTAGCTTGGAAAAATAAGCTCAAAATATTTCAACAAAGCATTCAGGAGCCACTGGGGTGCAGCATAAGCTACGGAGCTAGTGTCCTGGTGCCCTGGTGCAGCCATTTAGTAAATACTTACATTTATCTAGCTCTTTACAGTTTACAAGTGCTGTTATATATGATCTCATCTTATTCCCAGAACAATCCCAAGACACAGGTTCATCTCATAGTATAGGTGGGAAAATGATATTCAGGTTAGGTGATCAACAATGGCACCATCACTAAGTGGTTGGAATGACACTTTAGGCTACTCATTGGCTGAGTAACCCAAGCAATCAACTGACTAACCTGACCCAGTTTCCTCAGTTGTAAGGCGTGGTGCTTATACCACATTAGGGTTCCCCTGCCTGCCTGATCCTCAGCCTTACATAGGCAACATGTTTTTTTTAAAAAAACCACACACCAGAACTCAACAAAACATGGATTTCTAGGACCCTTCCTTAGAGCTTATGAGTCAGTAGGCCTGGGTGGGGCCCTGGAATTTTCTTTTCTTTTTTGTTTGAGACAGAGTCTCACTCTGTCACCAGGCTGCAGTGCAGTGGTGCCATCTCGGCTCACTGCAACCTCTGCCTCCCGGGTTCAAGTGATTCTCCTGCCTCAGCCTCCCGAGTAGCTGGGACTACTGGTGTGCGCCACTATGCCCAGTTAATTTTTGCACTTTTAGTAGAGACGAGGTTTCACCATGTTGGCCAGGATGGTCTTGATCTTTTGACCTTGTGATCCGTCTGCCTCGGCCTCCCAAAGTGCTAGGATTACAGGCGTGAGCCACCACGCCCGGCCTCTGGAATTTTCATTTTTTAAATAAAAGACGCAAGTAATTTTTACAATCAGGCAAGTATAGGAAACCCTGGGCCAGATGAACTCTGAGGTCCTTTTAAATTCTAATAATTTTAAAGGAAGTTCTTTCCTTTGTGTCTATTGGCCAACCAACCTCACCACTTGGAACCATATGCCATGTTACAGAACTCTGTCCTTCACAGAAGGTGGAACCGGTATCACGGCTCAGCACAAACTTTCTTCTCCTTCAGGGCTGTTGCAATGCTTAAGCCTAAATTTATGTTTTGACAACTGGAAGCTCTTTCCCTTGAGTTTCTGAAAAGTCTTTTAAGTAAGCAACAATACTGAGAGAATGAGGGAGAGGGAAAGGAAGTCAAGGCTAGAGGAGGCACTGAAGAGAATGATGCGGAAGAAGCTGAACTCTTGCAGAATTCTGCTGGGTGCTGCCAGCACTGCTTCCAGGTGCCACTGAGGCAATCCTGCATTACCACGGCGTAATCACGATTGAGACCTTGACTATGGAAGGGAGAAGCCCCACATCTAAGTTCATGAACATACGTAATCCAAGTCTGCCTTTTTCCTTCTAGGGAGAATAAGAGCTTACTCTTATTGGACCATTCCAATGCTCTTACAGATAATAACCAAGGGATGAATGAAAACAAAAGATTCTGGGCTTTAACTGGCAACATCCAACTCAGGGAACAGGTATGGAGGTGGGGGCTAGATTTGGCTCAACACTTCACTTCCCTGATCGTCTAAAATGCACCTCAGAGCCAGGGAGGCAGCAATCAGGTGTAAGAAGCCTCTGCTGCGCTGCCCACAAATATCAACACCCTGTCCTTCTTACGGTACCATCTGAAAAATCATAAAAGGCTAAAGTCACATTACAGTCCCTAAAGAATGCAGTGAATCAGCAATCTTTCAGAATTATGACTATCATAAAATCTAAATTTTATCCCCGATATTTCTGACAAAAATATGCTTATGCACATAAAGTTTTTATTTTTCAATGGAGGACTGAGAGGAAAAAATCATGAAAAACCTTAGGGTAAACTTTTGTCACAAAAAGAAAGAACGAACCATCTTCAGTCAGTGAGGCGGTCAGAGGGCAGCAAGGAGGTGGTGGAGCTAGGTGGGCTCAGTGTGTGATGGCAGAGGCCTGGACCAGCATCTATGTGGCACTTCTGCGAACCCAGTGTCCACGTCCCTGCCAGCGAGACTAATCTCACTGATGTTCTTTTAGACCAGGGTAAATGGCCTCCACATTCAATTTTACTTGTCATTTAAGCCAAAGATGCATCTTAAGTTCCTGCTCTGGGAGCCTCCTAGAATTTTGAGCACTTCTGGAAAACAGATCAAGAGTTAAATAAATGGAAAGCTGTGACACAGAAACAGACACTGAGTCAATCTCCTTCCTAATCTGTCCCCTCAGGCCCAGATTTCCCACAGCCTCCCAACACCCCGGAGTCTGAAATCATGTGTGAGGTGAGATACCACTAGAGGCGTAACCCCAACCCGGGGACGACATAAAAGCAGCTGCTCCCTTGGTTTTTTTGGTGCATTGTTTTGCATCAAATGCATTTGTTGACATATTTATATAACCTTCTTGTTCTACAAATATAGTTTAAATGTCTTAGTTGATGAAAATTACGGTCTTCTCATAAGCCAAATCCAATCAAGGTCAATGTCAACTAGTATCAATTTTCCATATGCCAAAAACAGGCAATGAACTGTAATTATCTTCTTGCATCAGACAGAAACTTACTTTGAAATAAAAGGTCAATTTGTAAAAAGAGTGATATAGGATCTATATTACATGATAAATATATAATCTGTTTATTAAATGTAGTGTTATATATTACATGATTTGTGCTAACATTGCATAAATTGCAAAGGTTACATTTTTGATCTCTGCTTTTTTGTTTTTAAGAAGGCATGTCAGAGTGAGAGTACTTTGGTCACCACGGGAAACACAACCCATAAGATGTTTTGCCAAGAGACACAGATCTGAATGCCGTCACAACACGGCATGGCTTGTTCAGTGTAGGTTACCACAGATCTACAATCACATGGTTAATGAAAATCTAAAACAGGACCAGCAGGATGACACATTTTCTGCTTTTTTTCTTTTCTTTTTTGGAGGAGGTGGGAATGGATTTGGAAGTAGGAATATTCCTCAGTGGGGTCAGTGCCTTCACTTACAGGGGCCTCAGTTTCCCCACTCTTGGACATTAGAAAATGGAAGAAAATATGGAACACTTCACGAATTTGCATGTCATCCTTGCACACTGGCCATGCTAATCTTCTCTGTATTGTTCCAATTTTAGTATACGTGCCACCGAGGCGAGCACTCCATTTTCCGTTCTTAATTCTCATTGCCATTATTGCTAGTAAGTCAATGGGAGGAGAGACTAGCTGAAGATCTGATGAATAAGGAAAGGTCTGACACTAGATTTTGTTTCTATGATTTATTAGGTCAAAGGAAAGAACTCACTTTATGTGGTTTGCAATAATGTAGTTTTAAAAAGAGTCTTCAGAATAACCATCCAATTTTCTAAAAATACAAGTTGCATCTGGTCTATGTGTAGAGGAAGCTCTACCAGAAAATAATCATTTGCCAGAAACACCACAGCAGGATTGGAATCAGGCTTCACTGTGATCACTGTGACTCTAATTTACTAAAACACTCTTTGGACACTAGTCGGTTGGTTTCAGACACTAGATAAATGTTGTGGGGGGAAAAGGGAGTAGTCTGAATGTGTTGTCTTTTGAAATGTTGAGATTATCTGGTAGAAACACGTAATTCTTTTCAGCGGTTGACACTGAGTTAGACAGTCCGTTTGCCTTCATAACCTAAAATGATCATGCCCTGTAATATTTCTCTTAGCTAAAAAGGAATCCAGTTAAGTGAATGTTGCATTCTAATGAGAAGACAGCCTGACAACGGCCACATGTCAGTAACTGCACTGCGCAGCATGGGTGCAAGGGCAGGCCTGTGTTACCAGACCGCCTGGGTTCTGTTTCCAGGGCCATCCCAGCACTGTAATTTTCAGCAAGTTACTCAGTTTACCTTTGCATCTGTCGTGTAATTTAGGGTTGCTATGGGGATTAAAAAAGAAAATCTAAATGAAGTACAAGCATCTGGTAAGAACCTAATAAGTGACAACTGTGTTTATTATTATTAAAATTACTATTATAGTCCTCTCCGTTTTTAACCAATTGCCTACTTCAGTGAAAACAGCTCTGCTGCTTCTCAAACTGTGGTTTACTAGTTCAGGTCAAGATATATATTCTCTCTCCAGTTCTCAGAACAGGATTAACAGTTCCTGAAAGATAAGGAGGCCCCCTAGGCAACTGTATGCCTTTTACTAAAGTACGTCACTATTTTACCTCTTTTTCCCCCCATTCTCAATCATCAATTTTATTTCCTTCACTTTTCATCTTCAAGCATTTTAAAAATTGAATTTATCATTCAACTAGCCTGTGCTTAATGTAGAACTAGGAAATAAAATAATACAAATAAAAAACAGTCTCTGTAATCCCATTGCCCAGTGATAACACTGACTTTTTGATACTTTTCTCTATGTACATATACACAATAATATATATTTTATAAAAAATAGAATCATTCTAAACAAACTAGACTATAGGCTTAACTTTTAAATCATTGATCAGACCTGTGTTTTTAGGAATGACCATATTATTATATGCATGGAGATATCGTCATTTTAAATTTATTTTTGTTTATTGTACTTTATACCATTTCTGATTTATCCTTCTCAATGATGCTTTGCTGAATAAGTGTCCACACATTTTTGCACAGTCTTCCAATTTTTTTTTTTTTTTTTTTTAAATAGGATCTCACTCTGTCGCCCAGGCTGGAGTGTAGTGGTATGATCTTGGCTCAATGCAGCCTTGACCTTCCCAGCTCAAGTGATCCTCCGACCTCAGTCTCCCGATTAGCTGGGAGTTAGGGTCACACTGCCCAGCTAATTTTAATTGTGAGTAGGGATGAGGTCTCTATTTTGCCCAGGCTAGTCTCGAACTTCTGGGCTCAAGCAATCTTTCACCTCCGCCTCCTAAAGTGTTGGGATTACAGGTGTGAGCCACCACACCTGGATTTGTTGACTTACTTTAAAAAACTCCCTAGCTTGGTATTAAAATCCTACTAATCCCTTTGATAATAGATCAAATAGCATTTTCTCTAGAATTCTTTTATTACATCCTTGTACTAGATCAAATTTCATGGTTATATACTCTCAGACCTCTAGTATTTCTCTGTCATAATACCTGACAAAATAGAAGTGAGTTTTTAATATATTTAACAGTTTAACATTGGGCTGGAGAGCTCCATGTGCCCTGGGATTCTTGTGCTCATTGCTACAGCCCAGTACCAGAATGGCAGCAGTCATTCTCACACCAGCAGAAGTTCAATGAATGAATGAGTAATGAACAAATAAATATAAGAAGTACTTTTGTCATGGCAAACAAGTTAACTTACATTAATATTCTCCAATATAAATTAGAGAATATAAATCTCCAACTTATATTCTCTTGCATAATATCATAATGTCTTTTTATATTATTACTACCATAGTAATTTTCTCCCTTGCTTCCTCAAATAGTTACTGGGCAAATGCTGTGTTCAGGGCACATTTAGATGCTGTGAGTGATGAACAAACATGATTGTCTGCCTCTCTTACATTTCAGCCAGTGAGACACACATTAAACACTAACTGCTGAAGTACTTCTTAATTCCAATAGCAGTAAAGCCTATGAAGGAGATGCTCTCAGAGCACATAAAGTAGAACCTGGCCTGGCCTGGTGTCAGCAAGTGTCCCCCTGCAGATGTGTTATTCAACTGCTATGTGAATGATGAACAGGAGTTAAGGTGGGGTGTGATAGCAGATGTGGCGTGCAGCTAAAATGGGATAAGTTTTAAAGACAGGAAACTGGACTTGCAAAGACCCTTAATCGGGGAGAAATATGCATGTGTTGAGGGACTGAAAGCTAGAAATTAAGGGGAGAATGATCTTAAGCTGACGCTGGTGAGGCCAGAGTACAGAGGGTCTTGTAAGTCTTCTTAAGTATTCTGGGTTTTTTTTTTTTTTGAGACCGAGTCTCACTCTGTCACCCAGGCTGGGGAACAGTGGCATGATCTCAGCTTGCTGCAACTGCTGCCTCTCGGGTTCAAGCAATTCTCGTGCCTCAGCCTCTTGAGTAGTTGGGACTACAGGTGTGTGCTACCACGCCTGGCTAATTTTTCTATTTCTAGTAGAGATGAGGTTTTGCCATGTTGGCCAGGCTAGTCTTAAACTCCTGGGCTCAAGTGATCCACCCGCCTTGGCCTCCCAAAGTGCTGGTATTACAGGCATGAGCCACCATGCTAAGTATTCTGGTCTTTGTCTTAAGAGTAATAGGAACTCATATATGGATTTTAAAGGAGAGTGATCTGATGACAGGTATACTGATCTTTTACTACAAAACACAAATATTACTTACATGCTTTGTTTTATTATCTCAGCCCAGAAAGAAGTCTCTCATACCTATACCTGAGCTCACTGTATAACTTTTGAATTAGGAAATAATTTATTTACCTCACTGGTGCTATATAGATATTTCAAAGGAATAAAAATTAATAAGGTTATTATAAAACAACAGCCCAAAGAAATATCTAGCAACAGGAGTAAACAATACAGTAATTTTCAAAGTGCATGCAGTATTCACTTGGCATCAGCAGATGGCGTAAGGCGTCATGTTACTGCCATGGCTATCTGGAGCAGAGATGAAGTTACCTAAATCTGTGCTGAGTCAGGGGGGGAATAATGTCAGCTTCCAAACATGCTATTTATATTCATGCATCATGTGACTTGGCTTAAATGTTTGATCCTGGGTTTACTCTTCCACTCATACAATACAGTTTTCTCATTACTAAGTTTGTTTAACAAGCTTTAATAGGATTTATGACAACCAAAGTTTTCTTCTAAGAGTGTTTTTTGTGTTCTCACTATCCCCCTCCACTAGCAGACACAAGTGCTCTGCAAATTTCAAGGTAAACAGTATTCTTGTTTCTTATGGAACAGAGGCCAAAGCTTCCTAACAAAGAGTAAACACAGAGAAATGTCTGGTAACCATCTTTTGTCTCAGAAGATACAATTTCAGTATTCGTTTTTTTTTTTTTTTAGACGAAGTTTTGCTCTTGTTACCCAGGCTAGAGTACAGTGCACGATCTCAGCTTCACTGCAATGTCCGCCTCCCAGGTTCAAGCGATTCTCCTGCCACAGCCTCCCAAGTAGCTGGGATTACAGGCATGCACCACCATGCCCAACTAATTTTTTAATATTTTTATTAGAGATGGGGTTTCTCTATGTTGGTCAGACTGGTCTTGAACTCTTGACCTCAGGTGATCCACCCACCTTGGCCTCCCAGTTTTGGAATTACAGGTGTGAGCTACCGCACCCAGCCTCAATATTCTTTTCAAATACTTACACAAGGCAACAACCTTGAAGTAACACTCTTGCTTACTTATGAAATGCAGGACTTACAAGATTTCCAAAATCATAAAAAAAAAAAAAAAGCTTTTTCCCTAAGCCATGCTCAGAAATCAGGACTGTCATTAAGACCTCTGGTTCTCTTCTTTATTGAGACGAGTGATGGTCATTCAAAGCCAGACACTATGGCCGGGTGTCAGGGCTACCCACCTCCACTCCGCCTTGTTGTGCAGGAATGAGTTACACTTGTCAGGAAGGCTCGTGTCATTTGACATGGACTCCAGAATTGAAATGATTTGCTTGAACGATGGCCGTTTCTGAAGAGGAGGAAATAAGTAATCATTCGGTGGGACTTAAGGAGATATTTAAGAGAAAACATAGGTACCTACAAGCATATTAATAAACTCAACCCACCATAACAAAATAAAACATGATACAATGTCCTGATGTAGTTATTTTACAATCATCAGATCACTCGGGTTTAGGGAACCGTATTCTCTATTTTCAGTGAATTATTCATAAGGTGAGATTCAGATGTTTTTCTCTCATGTGGTGTTAAGGCTGGGATAATTTGTGTTTTTTTTCCAGGAAGAGAGAACACTAATTCTTTTAGTTATGATTAAGAACTCCTAAAAGGAGTTTTTAAAAGTTCTTCAAAAATCTATGTGGTAAATATGGTAAAAAGTTAATGGTAGAGGGTGTGTGGTGGATATGTTAGTGTTCACTGTAAAATTCTTTCCACTTTATGTTTGAAAATGATTATGATAAAGTGTTGGGGGAAAATCTACCTATCAATCTATTGGAACTAATAAAACTGTCCACATTGGTTTGTCAGAAAACAAAATTCAGGTAGTATGAAGATTACCTGGGTGAGGAAATAATCTATACACCAAACCTCCACGACACACAATTTACCTATATAACAAACCTGGCAATGTACCCCTGAATCTAAAAGTAAAAAAAAAAAAGTAAAAAAAAAGTCCCCCAATTTTAAAGCCATCATAACTTCACTGTTCTCAATATTTCTTTTCTGTTATAATTGGCTGCAGTGGTTAGACACTAAGGTACTGCCCACTACAAATGAGCAGTGGTTAAGTGTGTTTGACTCTAGCCAAGGTTGAGACAAAAGGTTAAAACAAAAAGAGAGAAAGATAATAAAAAGGATGATGCACATTCTGTCTTCATCATGCCTCGTAATTACACCATTACTGAACAAATTATAGCTGCAGCAATTAAAACATGCATTTTAATTTAAGAGCACCAAAACAAGAAACAGTGTTGAGGTGGCTTGCTCTCAGGAGTTCAGTGTTTCCTACGTTACTAAGAAAAGCAATTTTTCCATTTCTCAGAAATAGAAAAACCTAGGATATAAATTGAGTTCTGCCATTATTCTTCTCGCGAATAAGGGCACTTGTGTGCATGTGTGTGCCTGTGTCTTTAGAAGAGGGCATTCATAGAGAAATGTTACGGATATACAGGCTTCTAATAAGCAAAGAAAAAAGTGCCTTAAATAGGAAGCTTGAAAAGTGTTGTTTATCTTAATTTTGTCCTCCTCTTAATTTCTCCCAGCATGTACTGGGTTTTAAAAGGATTTTTTTTTTTTTTCAAGACAGGCAGAGTCTTGCTCTGTTGCTCAGGCTGGAATGCAGTGGCGTGATCATAGCTCACAACAGCCTCAATCACCTGGACTCAAGCAATCCTCCTGCCTCAGCCTCCCAAGTAGTAGAGACTAAAGGTGTTTGGCACCATGGCCGGCTAATTTTTTAGTTTTTTTGTACAGAAGGGGTCTCGCCATCTTGCCCAAGCTGGTCTCAAACTCCTTGTCCCAAGTGATCTTCCTACCTCAGCCTCCTAAAGTGATGGGAATACAGGCATAAGCCATAATGTCACTGGCCAGAAAAATGTTCTAATAGTTTGCATAAGAACTAATTATATAGTAAAGGATTTTCATTTTGCAAGGAAAAGCAGCAGGAGGAGCTAATTAATTTTTAAAGAATAATTTTCCCTACATTTAATCATTCTTAAAATAAGGTGAAACTCTTCTATAATTGGATGACCAGCATCCCTAGAAAAAAATTTAATTTTATAGTCAGAGCCTGCTCTTGGATAGAAGTTATCAAAGTGAACATTTAAGAGGTGATAACAATATAGATTTTTGTGGTAATAATATTCAATGAGTATTCTGGTTACTGAATACATTTGGTCTAGGCTCTTATATAAATTCCTCTGAAGGGGATTAGGTTCCTTTTAGGCATTACATAGGCTTTGCTTATTTAAAAGTTAAAATAAAAACTAGGACCATTTGTGAAGCATCTACATACATTATTTCTCTATTTGTTATCTTCATTTTAAAGGTAAGGACAATAAGTTTCAGAGGAGTAGGAAGTGCCCAGCATCAAACAGGAATCAAGTTATAGAACCGGGGGCTCTGTTCTTAAACTCCTCAGCATCTTTTATCATGTAAGGGATTAAACTCACGACTTTAACATATTTTTGTTTTTCTTTTTGGAATCAGAGTCTCACTCTGTCACCCAGGCTGGAATGCAGTGGCACGATCTTGGCTCACTGCAACTTCCACCTCCCGGGCTCAAGCGATTCTCCTGCCTCAGCCTCCCGAATAGCTGGGACTACAGATGCACGCCACCATGCCTGGCTAATTTTTTCTATTTTAGTAGAGATGGGGTTTCACCATGTTGCCCAGGCTGGTCTCGAACTCCTGAGTTCAGGCAATCTGCCCCGGCCTCCCCAAGTGCTAGGATTATAGGTGTGAGCCACTGCACCCGGCCAACTTATTTATTTCCTTATTTAGAAATGTCATGTTAGGACCTGAACAAATACCACCTTTCCTTTCTTTCTCCTTCTCTTAAATAAAACATTCTGAGCACCTGTTGTAAGCCACTAAAAAGACTTGACATTTACCTAATACCAGCTTTCTCTTGCATATATCACCGCCCCTGCCTTGGACCCTCATTGCAAAAGAACACTAGTTCTACAGGTGGGCTGACTTTTTAAGTAGATGTTAATACTCTATAAATCTAAGGATTTTTTTTAAAAAAGAAAGTACTTTATTGCTCTACCTATGTGCATAGGACTGGAACTAACTTCTGGTTGAATTGCTACATATATGTAGCCAGTACATGGAGGTACCTCTCAGGAAATTTACTGTGGTCTGCCTATGTCAGGCAACCAAATTGGGCATCTACTGTCTATATCGATTTAATGTGCTATAGGGAAATACATGTCACAACTACCTCTACATCCTTAGAAAGCTTGTAGTCCATCTAGGAAGAAAACATGTCTTTAAAAATACAGCTGTACAAGGAAGGTAAGGCCCAGACTGTGGTTTAGGAAAAGAAGTACTAAGCCTGGGGTTGAGTAAACAGAATAACCAAGGAAGGCTTGATGAAGTACTCGGGGAGAAAGAAAAGAAGGAAGAGACCATGTTTGGGGAATGAAAGTATGGAAGGCATGTCTAGAGGAGATCAGCAGTGAGAGAGCTGGAAACGTGGGCTGTGGCCAGGTATGCGACCAAATCAAATACGGGGGCATGCCATTGTTTAATCAGAATGAAATGTCATGAATTTAGAAGACAAAAATCAATTTTAAACTTCCTTTATACCTCATGTGGCTGGGATGCGAGATTTCTTTGGCCCTGAAGAAGGGCTAGCTTACTACATGCTGAAGAAATGCCAGCTGCATGGCTTCAGCACTGGGCCTAATGTTCTTGTTGTGTAAGGTGATTACAGGATCATTTCATTAATGTCCCACAAATGTACATTCTGAGAATTTTAATTAACGTGGTACTGAGTGCTCAATTAAGAAATTCAAAACTTGCTTTGCATACTTAAGTGTAATCAGAGTTATAGAGATCTAGTTGCAATAATCAAACCCAATGCAAATAATTTCAGGCAAAATATTTATGTATCAGAGAAACATATGTCCAAAATGACTTAAATGTCACAATGGACATATAACTAGTAGGAAGGGTGGGGAAGGGGCAGTATGATACCATTTTAACAGTAAAAAAAAAAAAATGTTTTAAAGCAAGCTTGAAAATACCTGCATATAGTTTCTACTGAGTTAGCTGCAAAATGTAGGCATTTCTCTTAATGCTTAAAAATCCCCATTCTGCAAAATCATGTAGTAAAAATTATAGGGCCTAAACAGGAGCAGGCGAGACCATTCAAAGACCATGCAACTTGGTCATCAAATACTATTAAAATGAACAACAATCCTAAATAAGATAGTAACACAGTTTAAAAACATGATTCTTTAGTAAAAATAAACCTAGGAATAGCTAGGACTCTGCTTAAAAAATAAAGGGTAAAGGAAATCTAGGGCCGGGCGTGGTGGCTCAAGCCTGTAATCCCAGCACTTTGGGAGGCCGAGGCGGGTGGATCACCAGGTCAAGAGATCGAGACCATCCTGGTCAACATGGTGAAACCCCGTCTCTACTAAAAACACAAAAAATTAGCTGGGCATGGTGGCGCATGCCTGTAATCCCAGCTACTCAGGAGGCTGAGGCAGGAGAATTGCCTGAACCCAGGAGGCGGAGGTTGCGGTGAGCCGAGATCGCACCATTGCACTCCAGCCTGGGTTACAAGAACGAAACTCCGTCTCAAAAAAAAAAAAAAAAAAAAAAAAGAGTAAAAGCAAAGATTTTTGCAACATGTACACAGCACAATTTGTCGCTAGGAGAACCAGCAACAAGTTCTTCCAAGTCAAGCTAAGCCAAGCCAAGAAGGAGCACGTAGAGTGAACAGGCTTCACAGCACTGGGTCCCTTGCTGCCTTGTGGATTCGTATACTCTGTGCTCAGTGTGGAACAATGTGTTGGGAAACATTTTGAACAATCAACGTGAATTCTGAGTTACTCTAACGTAGTCCCCAGTCTCTATTCTCGCCAGTGGCTTCTGAGTTATTCCCACTAAAGAAACATATTGTAGAAGAACAGACTATATTTCATGGCCATTCATTCTTCTTGGGGGTCAGATTGGAACAGTGCTGAAATTCAGTAAGAAACTGGATTCTTTAGTCTTTCTTTCTAGTCTCTATTTAAAAGATCAGTTGTAATACCTCTTATTTCCACAAAAAACTGGACAAATTTAAACTAACATTTCTATGTCTTTCTGGAGTTAACTGCTCTTATTCTAATGTTTAATCTGTGAGAATATTTTTTATTTTTTAACTCATTATGGGAAATTCCAAAATACACAAAAGTAGAGAGAACAATATAATGAATCTCTATATACTATCACTCAGCTTCAAAAATCATCATGGCCAATCCTGTTTAATCTATACCATCATCCATTTCCCTTCACTTTATTTTGAAGCAAATCCAAGACTAGCCTATCATTTTATCTGTAAATATTTCCATATGTATACAAGAGTCTTTTAAAATGATTTTTGCAGGGAAAGGAAATGGGCCATTCATGCTCAAATGTGATAACCACATGAAAGCTTAAGTTTTGGAATTTCTCCAACTCTATTGTGATAGCTCAAAAACATCACTGAAGCTGGACATGGAGTACATATCAAGATTCTCTAGAAGTACTACTTTTCCTTGCTCTTTGGCTAGAAATGCAAAATAGTGCAGTGGTTAAGAGCAGGGACCGTGCCAGACTTAGTTCATGTCCAGCCTTACTCCCTACTAGCTGTATGGCCTTGAGCTCATGACGTAACCTCTGTATGTCTTGGTTCTTCATCTGTAAAATGAGGGTAATTGTGGCCTCTGTTTCACAGAGAGATTCTGAGGAATAAATGCATGAACATACATGAAGTGTGTGGAACAGTGCCTGGCATATTATAAGTACTATGTCTTAGCCATCTCAATAGCATATAGGTGCAATAGTTATTACTAAAAAATAAAATTATTTTTACTGACTCCAGAATGTCAAAGTGTGCTGTAAGAATGAGTTAATAATGAGTCACCAGAGATCAAGATTAAGCAGATGTCAATAGGAAACTTTAACAGTCAATCTGGGGCTCTTAGGAGCATCAATTCAGCTTTGCTTTGTAATGAGTTTTAGTAACCTAAGTTTTAAAAACAGAAAGCCAAACGAGAAATTTCAAAATTCTAAACAATAGCAAAAATACATATGTATACCTTGGCATCAGCTTCCCAACACTGATGTAACAGTTCAGCAAAACTTCTGGGGCAACTGCTCGGAATGGTTAATCTCTACAAAAGAGAACAGAACAAAACAAAACAAAACAAAACACCGGGTTGTTTCATTAAGGTAAGCAAACACTATCTGAAGTTTCGTAATAGAGTTAATTTAAGAACATAATCAAGATGTGAAATTTAAAGCTTCCATTGTTTAGTATACGACAGGCGAGAATTTATGTTTAGATCTGTAATCTCTAAAGACTCATTTTTCTTAAAAGACAACTGTGGAAAACGGAGAAGTCAGGTTCAGTATAACTAATGCAACAAAACATCAAATATCTAAAACTACAGAAGAGGAACCAGTTGGAACTTAAATACTAAATATAAAACCACAAGTCATTGTTCTTTCATAGGAAACTTAGGATATATGTAACAGGCCAGGTAAATAGGAAACCAGTTTAGCTTTGGCAGTAGGTATAAAACTCTGAAAAGATCTGAGCACAGATCAGAGAATTTTAAAGAACTGTGCATTTCTCATTGGTAAATAAGATCATCTGAACCTATGACTGATTATGGTTTTGTTTTGGTCAAACCCATATACTGTAAGGACCCAATACAACAAAAATTATAATATGAGGATGGGTCCTGTTTTAACATCCTACAGTAGTTCTCATAGAACATGTGGTGCCTGTATTCCACAGAAGCATTTTTGTTTTAGAGACTGGTGGGTTGCAACTGACTTTTAAGCATAACAGGTCAGGAATGCTAGACCCTTCAATATATCACAACATCCTGCATGACCAAGAACTCCTTTGTATCCCACAAAATTTCAAAGGCCCCATTTACATTCATGTAAGTAAAACAAGCAAACAGTGAGGTTTATAATTTTCTGGGCCTAGAATCTAATTTACAAATAAACACAGAGTATTTTTTGAATAGTTTGAAGATACACTGAACTTTGCAGAACGCCTCTACCAAATAAAATAAAGGCTTATTAATTCTTGCATGATTCTTCTGACAGATATCAACAACAGTGCCACTCCCTAGGTAATGGAATCATTAATACAACCCAACTCCATCCGGCTGCATTTGTAGTTGCTGAGTTCTATTTATCCCCGAAAACTGCTCCCTTATCTCCTCTAGTGTGGTCATGCTTGAGCATTTGAATGCTGGAAAACATCTGTCATTTATTTCTCTTTTTTTTTTTTTTTTTTTTTTTTTTTTTTTTTGAGACGGAGTTTCGCTCTTGTTACCCAGGCTGGAGTGCAATGGCACAATCTCGGCTCACCGCAACCTCCGCCTCCTGGGTTCAGGCAATTCTCCTGTCTCATCCTCCTGAATAGCTGGGATTACAGGCATGCACCACCATGCCCAGCTAATTTTTTGTATTTTTAGTAGAGACGGGGTTTCACCTTGTTGACCAAGGTTGGTCTCGATCTCTTGACCTTGTGATCCACCCGCCTCGGCCTCCCAAAGTGCTGGGATTACAGGCTTGAGCCACCGCGCCCGGCCTTATTTCTCTTTTTATATTACGGTTAGAGCATTATGTTAACTTACAATATAATGTGTGTAGGTAGTTATGGTACCCTTGAATTTCACCTCAAAGGAGCATAAGGGGTTGTTAACATAATTGTTATAGAATGAGCATTCGGTGTGATGGAGTTGAGAACTGCTGTACTAAGAAGTATTAAGACTTATTCCCGTTTTGTTTGCCAAAGAAGTTTTGCAAATAACAAACTGAAAACTGAACTTAGCTGGATTTGGGGGAGGCTATGTGTGAAACTAGAAACATAGTTGCCTTGACAAGAAAACTGACAACTTGTATCTGGAATTACAGATAATCCTAAAATCAAAACAAAACAAAGTTGAAAAACAAAACTCTCTCCAAACTAAAGGCCCTGCCAAGCACTATTAAACTTCTAGGCTCCTGATTTCACAGAATAGAATGAGATATATTAAACTGTACTATTATTTTACTGTAATGTAAAGTGCAGACCTTTCGATGAAGGCAAGAAAAATTCAGGTGTTTACTTTTTAAAATATAAAATGGTTGGGAGGTGAGGACTAATAAAAACAGACTACAATTGCAATTATGCACTTGAATGTACTCTGTAACTAAAAATAATGAGTTTTCATTGAGGGTAACATTTTTCAATACAACTTTGTCTCAGCATTTTCCTGAAAACTGAATGTGAGCTGGCTGAATATGGAGGATGATTTCTGTGATCTTTCCTTACTGAAAAACTGCTTAGATGCCACATGGAATTCCTTATACAAGGAGACACGATTATTTTAAATAATCGGACGTGGTCAAATATCAGTTTAATCTAGACTCAGACACTTTATGTAATGGATGATTTTGGTGCATAATTAAGTACTTTAAAACAGAATCCAAAGTATTTAAGTCCTGATTACATAACTGTGGGCATTCCTAATACATTAAAACATTTCTGAAATAGCCAGATCTTAGCACCAGGTTTGCAATCATACTTAAATATTTTTAAATAAAAGTTTCAAATTAAAATATTTCCCAATCACCAACTCAGGCATGACATTTTTTAAAGACCATCTTCATTTCTGCACCACTTTCTACATAAGATGTAAACATTTTTTTAAGTCAAGTTTTTATCTTTTTCTAAAGGCTAGTCAAGAGCAGTGGATTAAGTTTTATGAAGATTTCTATGTTAGTCAAATTCAAACACATTATATGTAAGAATTTAAGTATTTATAAAAATAGAAATTATGCTCCAGAGCATTCTGAATGACTACTGATTGACTTCCATGGAAATGATAAAAGCAAATATACCTATCTGTTACATTTGGAACATTTATTAGTAATGCCCTCTTAATTTCATGCCTTCTGTAAAGGTTCACTGTTTACCCTGCAAAGTTTAGCAGTGCTTTATGAATCTAGTTTTAATAGGATTTAATATTAGAAAAATGATCACTTAAATGTCTTATTTCGTTATTAAGGGACTAGAAGCAAAGATCTTCAAATATAATTTTTAGAAAGTATTGATTTTTCTATAGATGCAAAAAGTAATCTTAAATGTTGAAAATGAATAAGGCCCATTGTCTGGGTAAGAGTAATGTGCCAGTCTCAGTTCCCTGGTCTCGACAGTATACTATCGACATGTAAGATGTCACCAGTGAGGGAAGCTGGGGGAAGAGAACACAAACTACTTTAGTTTTTGTTAATTAAAACTTTTTTGACTAGGCGCAGTGGCTGGTGCCTTTAATCCCAGCACTTTGGGAGGTCAAGGTGGGTGGATCATTTGAGGTCAGGAGTTCAAGACCAGCCTCTCCAATATGGAGAAACCCCATTTCTATTAAAAATTAAAACTTTTTTGAGTCAGGGTGTCACTCTGCCACCCAGGCTGGAGTGCAGCGGTGCGATAATGGTGGCAGCCTTGACCTCTTGAACTCAAGGGATCCTCCTGCCTCAGCCACCCCAGTAGCTGGGAACACAGGTATGCACAACCTCAGCCACCCCAGTAGCTGGGAACACAGGTATGCACAACCACACCCAGCTAATTTTTTGATTCTTTGTAATATTTTTGCAAACTCCTGAGAGTCTATAATTATTTCAAAATAAAAAGTTAAAGACAACCATAATGCTTGGATATAGATTTTACAGATAATTAGATAACATTTAAAATGTCTCCCTGAACACTTAAACATGTCATTCTTTATTTAAATGAGGCCTGTTAAAAATCTGACTTTCTCTTTCCAACCCATAACCCAAAATATTCAATAGTAAAAGAATTAGAAGTTGAAGGGATTTTGTAAATTATATTTATTTAAGTCAAAGTCTCAATTTTGTTATGAAATGAATAAATCCTTGGAAATTATTGCTGTGTCAACAGAATTTATTTTGGAAATGGATACCTCCATTTGTGAGGTGATATGAGGATTCCTTCTTGAATGATGATATTGAAAATTACACTGAAACTTAATTTCCATATTTTTGAAAAATAAATATTGTACAGAATGAGAATAGCAGATAAATATCCTTGTAAGGCCCAATTTTACTGAAGTTCATTAGAAAGTTGAAAAAATGTATTTTACCATGTAGACTTTTTTCAACTTACTATGATATTTAATGAATACAGTGTGGGAGGTATTTGTGTAGTCTTCTTCAGTTATTAGCTGATTATCAGAATGTATCATGAATAAAATAGTAAACTCTACTTTCTGGGATCTCCAGAGAGAAAGAAGATTGCTTCCTTATGCACAAAGTTGAAGAGGTTCTGAAGGTTATTCATGGGAGATTTCCAATCCTCAAGTCAACTATCCAGGCAGCTTCTAAATTCACTTTTTTCTTCAGCTTTCTTCAGTTTTAAAAAATCCTTCACAGATACTCCAATGTTTTAAAAAGTGCTTTCAATTTATATCTATTCTGGCACCCTTTAGACAAATTATTATTTTAATATATTAATTATTCTGTCTTATCCATTTGGAGGGTCTAGTTAGCTTTTTTTTTTTTAAAAAAAAAAAAAAAAAACAACTTTTCTCCTAGTTTATCTTGGAATAGTGCAGCAGGAAAAGATTACACTGAATGTTTTGGTTCCAGAGCCAACACAAGGCCCGTAATTTTCTTCGCTTTCATTTGTAAACCCAGAACCAGATCTCTGATGATCTCACTGGCACAAGAAATAGAACAGAAATAAGTGTGTCCTCATGTCATGACGCTATCAGTTATCCTGTGTGTAAGATCTTATTTAATAGCACATGAAGGATTACTATCCCTTTTAATTAAAACAGAGCAGCTACTGTGAAACAATGAGTAAGGCACATTCTTGCATATAACTCCTTTTCATTTCTTAAATTGGCAGCTCTTTCCCATCAATTTCAGCTATCATCAACATTGCATCCTCTCCCAATCAATCAGGAGGACAAATTATATGGTAACTCCGGATTATGTGATCTAAAAGACGAAAACTTGGTTTCTCCTAGTCAATAGCAGCTTTTTGATTGATCTAGTTTGTTCCTGCACTCACCTGGGAAGCAGATCAATCTAACTCTTTCAGAGCATTAAAAAGAGATTTTTAAAATATATTCACCTTTTTGCAAATTATTTTTTTCTAAGGTTGCAGTCTTACCCTTTGTGGAGAGCACAGATAAGCTTTGGAAATGAAGAAGTTTTGTGAAATAAAGTTGTTTTGCATTGCAAAGACAACTGCTTGCTTCCATTACATGATCTAAGTTCTCATAATACCTTGATATTGGATGCTTCATCCTTATGCTGAGAATTTCCATGGCTGTGCGTTTCAGTCACAATTTTAAACCTTTCAAAATGTAGTTGCTCTCTTTGATATGAATGTACCATGTTCTCTGATGTAGGCTCATAGGTCCAACTAACTGAAAGCCTCAATTTGTGGGAAGAAGAGAAGCGAGGCTGGGGACACAGCACAAACGGTGTTTACGCCACTGAAGTTCTTTTGAAATGGAAAGGCTCTGCATGAAGAAGCGAACAGTTATGCCACTGCCTCGCCAATTCCAGTGAGGAGCTCATCTTCAATGTAGTGTTCAACGTAGGTGGCAAAACTGTAATTTTTCCCTTTTTTGAAACTATTTTTTCTTCTTTTATTTTTGAAATTCTCATCTAAGCGACAGTTTCTTGTACTATAGTGACTCCTGCTGGGAGAGGTAAGTTGAAGTAGCTGAAGGTCTCTTACAGATATATCAACTCCCGGCCAGTAAAAAAGATGTCCTAAACGCAGGAGATGGAGTTAAACTGTTCCCCTACCTTGGACGCAATGGCTTCTTTCATCACTAAGAACAAACCCCTAGGTTTTACAATTGAGACTGAGAAACTAGTACAGTACTTGTACAATTTTTGATCTACAGCATCACGACGTGAAGCTGCAACAATTAGATGTAAAGGGTCCATTCATGAGGAATAACATCACTTTGACCCTTTGTGTTAGCTCCTACTGCTAATCTTTCCATAAGCGTGAACTTACTTTCAATTTGAAGAAGATGAAAAAGTCTTTTGCAAAACCCCAATACTGTTTTCTGATCTATGTACCTGAATGGAGAAACGTAGTCTTACCTCGTTTTTTTCCACTACAAGCCAAGCTACTTGTAATCCTTCCAAACCTTTAAAGGGGACCTCCCTTGTTAGCATCTCCCAGAGAACCTGGAACAAAAAGAAAATGGAATTTTTATTCTTGTACTTTATATTTTTTGGGTACATATTACTGAAACTTTATCAAACATTTAATTGTATCCAATTACCAGACACAACCAACCCCATCTGTAGAACCTTGGGCAAAACAAATCTGCTCGTGCGCACAACTTCTTCCATATATTAAATACTTTTTATGTTGTTTTTTATAAAGAAAAAAACCTGGTTTAGAAATTAGGACATCTAGAGCCAGACGTAAAATTCTATGAAACCAATGCGCCGGATTTAGTGTCATCTCATAAATTATTAGAATTGTTATGTTCTCACAAGTTAGATTTTGTATTTTGTTAAAACTCTTTCTACCTTCAATTTGATATATTTGTCTAGGAGATAACTGGAAATTCAACAATATTTTAAAAGATTCAGTAATGGTCTCATCAAAAATAACTGAGCCCCAAATCCAAATCACTGGCTAACCCACCTACCCCACAATGGTAGATACTTGCAAAATTGTAATATTTAGATTTTACATGTTACATTTTAGGTTTTGGAGAAATCTCCCTCAAAATGAGTCAGTCTACGGGATCTACTTCATATACATATAAACTATTATACCATACTCTAAGATGTAATGAACACTTAGGTACACACAAGCTGACTGTGTGTTTGTGACTTTATGTGTGTGTTCATCTTTGTGCAGTTCTTGAGATCAGGATGATGATTAAACCTGAGTGGAATGTCCAAAGAAAGCAAACTGATGCTAGAACACTGCTGATTTTGGTTTCTCTTTAAACACTGAGGAATGGAGAGTTGTACACTTGGTTACTTTCCCTATTTATACAAATAGGAGTTCAAAAATGTGAGTCTACCAATACTCTGTAAAGCGCAAAAACAATTCTAAGTTATCAATAACAGACCTAATAATAACAATCACTATCACTTCTTGAGTACCTATTACGTTCCAGATGTCCTTTTTATAGGTTACCATGATGAACAGCAATCCTGTCGGATACACATTACTCTCATTTTTTGGGTGAGGAAACTATTAACAAAGTTAAATAAACTTGCCCAAAGACACTCAGTTATCCAGTGACAGAGCCAGAATATGAACCTGCTGGCTCGCCCGGAAGGCCAGGCTCTTGACCCCTTTTAATTTTAGAGAAGGGAAAGTGGCAGTAGTAGAGAGGATGCCACAGGCCCTGTCTTAGGTAGGGCATCCTGGCCGAAGCAGGAAGAGAACCAGTGGTGTCAACTTAGATTTCCCTTGTTCTAAAACCAAAAGCCCATTTCTGAATGGGAATGTAGATGGAGCACATATACTCTAGAGTCAAGTAAATCCTAGAAATCTCTCACTCCATCTCCACTATTTCCTCAGCCAGTGCTCAGTCTTATTTGAGCCATAACATAGTAAATGAATTCTGGCTAATAGGAAGATAATTAGCAGGAAAATCAGGGAAATTGGCAGATGCTGTTCAAGCAGGAGAAAAAAAATTCACCGAAGCCTCTTTGGGCTTTTAATCAAGTGTGTAAGGTACTCCTTTAGAGGAGCCACTGAATAATTCTTTTTGAGTCACACAAGTGATGAGGAGAAAGTAAGGGGCATCCCACAAGGGGACAATCCTAGTGCACACAGTACTACAGGAAGGGTGAGAGCCAGAACAGGTATGCAATCACCCTGATGTGCTGCCGCACCGGAGGGAGGCCGGGCAGCCAGAGGGCTGAGCAGGAAATGGAGCCCCTCAATTGGCTGCAATTACCGCTCCACAGGGGGCTAGGGCTGGGGAGGAGAAAGGATATGAAGGGCAAGTAAATTAATGGATGTGACATTCCTAAGCAGAATTAGAACAAGGAGTCAGCCTCCAATAAATCAGAGGCTCCAGACCCCCAAACGAGCAGATGAGCAGTGCCTCCCACCTTCTGAGTCTGGCCTGCAGGTATGATACACGCATGTGCACACGTGCACACGCCAAATTTTGTGAGGTGAAATGCAAAACCAAGAGTTTGGGGGGATAACACCAGAAAAACAGTTATGTCATTCTTTCTTCCAAAATATTCTGCTGGAAAATGTCCAAAATCTAATAAAATTTAAGTTATATTTCTCTAAGAGCTGTAGCCATGAACAATTAAAAAAAAAATAAGCCAATTTCATTTGACTCCCTCTGTGTCTCTGAAGAGCAACTACATTGAGGGAGATACTTGATGGATGTAAGAGTGCCTTAGGTGGCGTCATCAGCCTCTATATCCTGAAGCCCAAATGAGGTCTTTAGTTTTATTCCAGTATCAGCACGTCTCATGATTTCCTTTTATTAATTACCTGGATTCAGGAATGTATCAAAAAGTAGGCAGTATAAGATAGGACACCAGGTTTTTGTTTACACCAAACAAAATGACATTTGGCACACAAAAGTGACTTTGTTGAGGAATTCACTTGGAGGTCTAAAAATATACTAAATGATGCCTAAAAATACTAGTTATGAGGATTCGGGCCAAATAGTATTGTAATCTTTCACCTTAAAAATATTTTCCGACTCATTTTATATTGAGACGTCCTCACATTTAAACTGTGCTCACAAGGAAAATTTCTATTTTCAGTTTACAGAATAGAAACTTGGAAAAGACTCTGTACTTTTTCTGCCCTTTCTTTTCCAAACAATAGAAAGCCATTACCTGAGCCCAGCTTGTTCTGGAACAGGGCTCACAGACAAGGCAGGCAGCCATGCTGTCTCATAAGCCACTCTGTTTTCAAGGCTGGTTTTGGCTGAGTAGCTTCTAAGAAGGTAATCCTTTCTGCATTGTCATTAGAATAGCTTTGTTGGTTTTTTTTTCTTTTAAGATAGGCTAGGCCTTGTGTTCTCAGAAGGCTTATTCTTTCAGTGATTTTTTGCTTTTTTTGTGTGGATAACATACTAAACGCTCCTTCTAGTTAAGTCCTCAAAGAGAAGTTCTCATAAGAGGGTAGAAAAATCTCATTTTTCATGAAGTGGAGGGAAACAATGGACTGCCTAGCAAAGTTTACCGGCCTAAGAGCAAGGATCATAAAATCCACTTCTGGCATTCACAGCACGTTAATTTTAAGGCAGCATGAGGTTCGTGCATCTTGCCATTTATTAAGAAGCAACACTGGTTTATCAACCTGGGGTGGGCTGGTAGTTTTAGCAGTAGTAGAGGCTAGATTCTTACAGCAGTCTAAAAACACATGGAAAAACAAAAAGCAAAAATATATTGCATTTTTTTGAGTGGATTTAAAAAAATTTTTTTAAATGGTCTTATTCATCTGTGTGTGACTGTTGTGTGTAGAGGGGGTTTCAATGAACAGAACTGACTCCCAATGAACGATGGGATATTTAATAGAAACAAATGCTCTTACTGGAAAACGAGTCTTGGCTACTCACCTGTTTCTGAAAAGACAACAAATTCAAAATAACCACATTTTGAATTAAAATAGGTATCATTTTCCAAGTTTATGGACCACAAACTTCTAAAACTACCATAGTACCAACCTGAACATCTATCCTCACCTGCTCTTTTCTGTAATGTCTGCTTTGAACACATAATGCTTTATTTTTTAAAAAAAATCTGTGATTGTTTAAACAAAAAGTTGCTGGAAAGCATACCTTGTATTTTTTCTTTCACTAGTGGTGTTCATTTAGAACAAATAGAATGAGAAGAGATCAGAATTAAATATTAGGGTGGTGCAAAAGTAATTGCAGTTTTTGCCATTACTTTTAAATGGCAAAACCTCAATTACTTTTGCACCGACATATGCAATCCTGAGTTCTTGTTTATAATTAAATTAGCATCTGTACACTTTTCTGAATGGAATTTTGCTGACACCGGTCTCTGAGAGGCAAACTAGCATTCCAAGCAAATCTCTCTCTTCAAGATAGACAGCAGAAGCTGTTTTAAAACAGACTCACTGAAATGGCATTTCTGTTTCCACCAGTTGAGGAAAGGCTCTAGCATGAATTCAGAATGGATATTCCACCTCATGTGATGGGGCGAACAGGTTCTGCAGAGCAACCTCCAGTGTGTAAATATACAGCAACACTGGAAATGCTCGATTTGGTTTCAGTGAGGTAAATTACCCGATAGGATGGTTTGTTAAATCCCTCCAAAATAAAACAAAACCAAGCAAACGTAGGGTCAGTACACAAGTAGAGAGAAAAGCTAATCTACAAAGTGACATGTTCAAGCCCTTCTACTGAAATGTGGTGCATAGTTATTTGAGTGAAAAGGTTTTTAATAAAAAACACTGAAAATGTGCAGCTCCTGAAAGGTTGACTCAGACTATGTTTAAGAAATAGGGTCAATGTGGAATGTATGAAAGAGTTTTTAAAATGATACAGGAAAAAATCCTAAGCTCTGCAAACAGAAGTCACCTCTTAACATCTTTTATAGTTTATGTGTGAAAAGGAATTTGTGCTTGGCTACTGGTACTAAGACTGTACTTCATCTCAGGAAAAGCAGAGGGGTGCATTTCACACCAAAGCCCTGGCAACTGTAAGGCTTTGAAAGAAGGCAGCATAAAGTTTGTTTTCATACATGAAATAATATTGAGACCAAAAGTTCACTCTATGTATAGTTGTGTCTTAAGGTCAAAAATTTTTGAGATAAGGAAATTCAAAGACGGGGAGAATTTTAAAAGTAAAAGAGCTCTGTGTGTGTGGACTCATAAGGGCAAAAATGAACCTCACAAGTCTTCTAGTTCATATAAGTGTGCCAAACAATTTAAAAGCTGTAACCATCTACAGTAACTATAACCAACATACATATATACGTAACACCAACATATATGTTCATGTACATTTCTATGCACATGCACATGAAAGGAGCGGAAGCTGTGGGCTTCTGGTGAGCCACTCTGAACTGTCAGCTGGAACACTGACTAACAGAGCCACATTCCTAAGCTCTGCTGCTCATCTTCCCAAGCCGCCTTGTTCCACGGAGATGCCTGAATGCAAGGATGGCCTGCTGCAGAATACAGAGTGACTTTTTCGTGTTTGATGGGTTGTAAGAAACAAAAAACCAACTGTGGCATCTATGAAGACTATGCAACAGAGACTCTAAGCGGCCCTCAAAGCCAGAAGTACATATTATCTGGTCCTTTCTAAAAAAGTTTGCTTGCTCCCATTCTACAAGACAAAAGGAGACACACCATTCCCGACAAGCAGGCTAAGAAAAATTTAAATTACCCTCGGGTGGTGGTTAGCGTGGTGCTTGACTCCATAAATACGTTTTTGGTTATAAATGAAGGAATGCACTTTCACAAGACAAAACAATCTTACAAAGAGTCTGAAATTGCTACAAATACCCCATTTTTCAGAATATCCCACAGAAGAATGTATGATGGTTAGAATATAGTAACGTTTGGCATAGGAGAGGAGTTTTAGAAGCTAGTCTCCTCTGAAACTTATGTTTTTTCTTCTTTTCAATGAGAAATATTTAATCACTGTCTGTGACAGTTTATAGTCTTCAGTTTTAGAAACATCCAGAATCAAGTGATATTAGGTATTGATGGTTTTTCTTTTTTCTTTTTTTTTTTTTTTTGATATCAGGTATTAAGCCTGACGTTATTGTTGCCTTCTGATCTTTAAAATTCTAGCCTTTAACCAAAACATGTATTTCATCCTTGAAATGATTTTTTTCAATAGCTAACAAAATTAATCTTTATTAATTTGGTATACATAGAATGTGTTATAATTTAGAAAGAGCTAATTACTGAAACAAGTTCAAAACCTGTGAAGCCAGCAGCAAATAACCAGAGACTGAATAAAGAAAAAGGACAATGTCTGGACAATGTGACTCTTCTCTCATGCCACTGGTTATCAACTGCAGTAAAAAAAACAGAGGCCCAGGACAAAGAGGCATGCTGACGTGGACCCAAAACAGGCTGCTGCTTTTCCCATTACTAGGAAAATGCCATTTTCGGAAGTAACAGTATAAATAGCAGAGCAGTATAATTGGGATGAGATGTAAAGATAGGGAATTCCAAAACTGTTTCAGCCTTTGTAAAGAATATATAACATTTTAGGGGAAACTTATCCTCAACAAAAGGCAACAAACGAATTCCTCCAGCAAAGAACACTCTCATTCCTCACATCCTTCTCTCTGATAGGGCAGGTATAACCTATTCCTCAGGAAATGGCCCATCTCCAACCTATTCCTCAGGAAATGGCCCATCTCCAAATTCCTCCTCCAGGAGCTTCTGCTCCTTAACAGATTCATTCCTGTGGTCTCTATTCCTTGAGCACTTCGATCCCACATTAGTCTATTCTCTATGTTGCTCTGGGGTGATTCTTATGTAATGCCTTAGGGTCAGGCTTCAGAGAGTCACTGCTACTCTAAGACTGGGAGCAGACAAGGACAAGGCCATCTGGTAGTGCTAAGTATGTTTTCTTTTGGACTTTTAGAAATTCATGAACCAGTGATAGCTGAGACTCAAAAGTTTCCTGGTGATTAACTCACCTGGCAGCTCTGTTGGTGATTTTATGCTGTTTAAGCAATCTATTACAATAAAGCCCTGTTCCAAATGATCCACATTTCCACTGAAATTACAGAGACAGTCTACAGTCACACTACCACCCTGCAAAAGATCATCCTCACAGGCAAAGTGCAGCCCGACACTATCTCAGCTTCCATTTGTTTCTTGGAAGTGGTGTTGGTTTCTTCTCAACACAGGACAAAATAACTCGGATGATTAAAAATGATTAAACCTTTTGGCAACTAGGAAGTGTTTGCTGCTGCGGCTGCTACAGGCATTCCACCAGAAACAGCAGTACGGTCTCAAATAAAACCATATTAAACTCTCTCTCTCTCCTCTCTAGATTGTTTGCCTTTTGTATTTCCTTTACTAAACAAGAAATGAGAAATGAACTCACCACACCATAGGAATATGTGTCACAAGTTTCTGACACAGGGAGACTTTGGATAACCTCTGGAGCCATCCATGGGAAAGTTCCAACCAAGGACATGTGTGTTGTATGGTTATGGAACCGAGAGGCACCGAAGTCACAGATCTGAGAAAACAGGAATCAGTATCAGCTTTCTATTTATTGGCTAAAGAATCATGAGTTACAAAAACCTACATTGGAAATTAACAATTTTTTAAGTAAAAGAAATAGTCCTACCTTCAATACTCCATCAGCAGCTATAACAACTAAAAAAGAAAAAAAGATAAATTACGACAATCATCTAATTTGTTTGAACTGTCTTATAGTGAAAAAACCGTAAACTTCTATTTCTGTCTTCAATATGGCATTATGAAAGGTGAAATCAATGTATTTACAGCATTGAGGATTTTGCAGAAGGGGACTGACATTAAACAAAAATTTAATAACCGTTAGATACTGATTAAAAAGGCTTCTGAGGTATTGAAGGTTTTTGTTTTATCCAAATACAGTACTGTTCAGTAAAGAAGGCACAAATTAGTAGTAGTTAGGAGAACCAAATTTTTACCTGGGTTCTGCCTGTATACTGCCAATGTGACATTGAGGTAGTCATTAGGTTTACTACTTCATGTTATATGTAGGTTTTCCTCCAAACTGAGGATTTTTATTAAAGGTGGAGAGAATATTCATTAATTCACTTGTTCATACATTCATTCATTCACTAAATATTTGCTGGGGCTACTATGGGTAAGGCCATGTACTACGCTGTGGAACAGGACTGTGAGCAAGGCTGGCACTCTGCTCTCATGGAGTTTACATTCTTATCAGAGAGACAATTAAATAAACATCTACAGCCGGGCGCGGTGGCTCAAGCCTGTAATCCCAGCACTTTGGGAGGCTGAGGCGAGTGGATCACGAGGTCGAGAGATCGAGACCATCCTGGTCAACATGGTGAAACCCCGTCTCTACTAAAGATACAAAAAAAATTAGCTGGGCATGGTGGCACATGCCTGTAATCCCAGCTACTCAGGAGGCTGAGGCAGGAGAATTGCCTGAGCCCAGGAGGCGGAGGTTGCGGTGAGCCGAGATCGCGCCATTGCACTCCAGCCTGGGTAACAAGAGCGAAACTCCGTCTCAAAAAAAAAAAATAAACATCTACAACAAAGTGGGACGGATTTGATGATGAGAGAAACAAACAATACTACGGAATGAAAGAACAGGGATATCTATGTCTAGAGAGGTCAGATGAAGCTTCCTACAAGAAACGATGCTTGTGCTAAGACGTGAGAAATACAGGAGCTAACCGGAAAGCGGAGAGCTGAGGGAGGAAAGTAGTTTCCTAGGCAGGAGAGAGCCTATGCAAAAACTTAAGAGCAGACAAAAAAGGCATGGCAAGTATGGAAGGCAGGGGTCCAGGTTAAGAAAAGCCCTTGCGAGAAAGAGAAAGCCAATGAACCAATTTTATGTCGAGGAATGAAATGAGCAAATGTGCAGTTGGAAGACTATGACAGAGAAGAATAGACCTGGAGGCAAGGGGTCACTTTGTGGTCCAGGAGAGAGATGAGGATGTCTGTACTAAGGCAGTGGCAAAGGACAGGAGAAAAGCTGATCGAGTCAAAAAATATTTAGGATGCAGGATCAGTGATGAATGGCTGAATATGGGGGGAGAAGGAAGAGAACTCAAGGATAAATCAGATAAAGAAGCAATACAGATTAATGGTTAGAATGGGAGCTCTGTAACTACTATTTATCTAATTTCTGGCTTGGGCAAACGGTACTGCCACTCAGTAAAGGAAATGCAGGGATGATTTTTCGGGGGTAGGGAGAAAATGAAAAGAGTAATTTGGACATAATATATTTTAAGGTCTTATAATATCTATGTGGATGTATCTAATCAGCAGATAGAAATATAGTTCTGAAGTTGAGATCTGTTTGGGACTATTAATATGTAAATAGGGCTTTTTTTTTTTTTTTTTTTTTTTTGAGATGGAATCTTGCTCTGTTGCCAAACTGGAGTGCAGTGGCACAAGCTTGACTCACTGCAACCTCCACCTCCTGGGGTCGAGCAATTTCCCTGGCCTCAGCCTCCTCAGTAACTGGGACTACAGGCGTGTACCACCATGTCCAGCTAATTTTTTATATTTTAGTAGAGATGAGGTTTCATCATGTTGGCCAGAATGGTCTTCATCTCCTGACCTCATGATCCTCTCGCCTTGGCCTCCCAAAATGCTGGAGCCACCGCGCCTGGCTGTAAATGGGGCTTTTATGGGAGTGCAAGAATCAGAGCATAAGAGGAGATGAGTCTGAGGATAAAGTTCTGAAGAACTGTTTCAGCTGTTTCTTTTGTAAGCCATGCGTGCTTTGAACATGACAGATGATCAATACTTACTAGTTACTGATGATTTTACTAAGGAGGAAAAATGATCTTTGTATGATCAAATATATGAAAATAGCCTCAGGGTAAATGTGATACTATAAGTAATAAGCTATAAACTTCTGCAAATAGAAAATGTAAATATTACTAAATTTCATATTCAGCTTTCTCATAAGATTCATGAGTGCTCATTAGAAAAACTGCCATTATAAAAATACGTAACATAGAAAGTGAAAGTCTGGTTATCTTTCCAAGGGAAAAAGAATTGCTATAAGTTAGGTCTATATTCTTTCAATATGAGTATATGTGTGTTCCTATTTAGTAACATATAACTGTAAATACATATAACTGTAAGTTTTTTAAAATGGGGACATTCTCCATTGTTATACAGCCTTCGTAATGATAGCATGGATAAATCCATAATTTAGTTAATCATTCCTCTTTTGTGGAAGATTTAACATATAATGAAGTCAAATAACATTTAAATTGAAATTCTGAGCATGAACTGAAAACTTACCAATTCATAGAACTGATATTTACTAGTCTAGATTATTTCCTAATGACATCCTGTTAGCTGACCATATATTAAAAGTGCTTAGTTCCAGGAAGCTTATGTCTAAGAAGAACCAAAGGATAAGTGATGACTAGAAGAGGAAAGGACAATCAGACAGGGTTAAATTGGTGGTCCAACCTGGACTACTGATGAGTAGCAGGGGCCAATAACTTCCCTCCCCAACCCCCATACCCCCTCCCCCCCCAGCTAAACACACGTGCGCACACACCTCTCACTGTCCTGGGGTATGTGCAATGGTACCTCATTGATTGATTCCCTGGTCCTCTTCCACTACTTGCCATCACTACCCGTTCTAAGGATCACACTATTAGCACATACTCATTTTAATTGAAGATCTCCTAAAAACAGTCATCTTCCTCCTTACTGAGAAGGACCATTTAGAAAGCATGTAAATAATTAATTGATAGCGGGGTATTCAAAAAAGTAGCAAATTCTGATGTTTACTTTAGCTAGTTCTGGATAGCTAAATAACCCTACTGCCTTTCTCAGATGACTCTGAAGTGATGTAATGGAAGAAGCATTCTGTTACAACTCCTACTTGAAGGTAATGTCTAATCCTGCCAGTTATTTTAAAATGCTCACCCCCCCCCCTCCAAATTATAAAATACAGGGCCATAAATCAGCTTCAGAAAGTACAGAAGAAGAGAAAGAAGAAAAAGAGAGGCTTTACTTTCCAAACTTCCAAACATGTGGCTCATTTTGGGCACTATTCCAGGTAACTCAGACAAGACTGGCATAAACAATTCACACCATGCAATTCAGATGCAACAAGAACAAAATTCAAAATTGATAGTGTACAAAGCCACCTAAAAATAGAAGACTAAAAATATATGACTGCACACTTTGATACAGCAGTATTTCTTTTAGAAAATGATTCTAGGGAAATTATTAGGGATATCTTGAAACATTTAGCTGAAATGTTATCAAGCCCAACATTTCTTATCAGAGAAAAACTGTAAACAGTTCAAATGTCCACATTCTGGGCCATATTTACACAGTGAAATACATGAAATACTATGCAGCTTCTTCAAATAATAAGATTTTTGTTATTTATTGACAGTAGAAAGACTTCCATAGTATAAGCAGTGAGTCCAATAGTAGGTTACAAAAGATATGTAAAGGCGTGGTGTTCATTTCTACATACATGTATATGTAATTTGTAATAAAATAGGTAAAAATATAAATACATTACCATTTCTTGACTTGAGGTCTCTGTGAATCACCTTGACAGGAGCCTCCATATGTAAATAGTGCATTCCTTTTCACACGAGAAGAAATAAAAGCCTATTAATATTTTCAACATTATGTCAGTATTACCTTTCATATTTTTTCAAAGAACTCAGGAGCAGAAACTAATTCACATGTCTTACTCTTCCATGATGGAAAAAATGAAAACAGAATATGTCTACATTAGTAACATGAATATGTGAAGTCTAATGTATAAGCTTTAATCTCATAGAGGTTGGAATTTGACTGGGTAAAGCTAACTTCTTACAATACCTAATAAGGACACCTTAATTTTTTGCAGTCTGCATGAAACTAGCACAGTAATGGCTAAGGTATTCCACTACCAACAGCCTTCTAAATCTGCCAAAGTTCTGAGTAGGATTTGCAGTGTTCATCTGGACGTTTGCAGTTACCTAGCTGCAGATTCTGATGTCCAGTTACCAAAGTTCTGGATGTCTACGGTTACCCAGCTGCAGCTTGGCTTATTTTCTTAGTACCCGTTCCCACAAGCCTGGGAGTGGATGTGGGGGAGCGGTGGGGAGAACTGGGAGGACTGATGAGTTAGAGCTGGTGAAGTATTTTATGATCTTCAGATAAAAAAAGTGTACAATAGTTACAAACTATTTCATTCTTTTTACAAGGACAGATCTTTGAGATAATCTGTATTTCAGCATACTCCAAAATTCTTTCCATCACATTTAGGGCGTAATCAAATTACTTCGGTAAACTGGGTGTACATAAACTTTATAGGGCTTTATTAATTTGAATCAAAAATTATACTTTAAAATACATATTTTACGGTTACCACCTTTATAGTTTTTGACTCTTTCTGTATTTATGCATTGTCTACCCCTTTAGGGAAAAAAAGGATAATTTCCTACTAAAATATATTCTCTTCATTTCTCAAGTTGTCTTTTCTAAATAATGGCAGAAATAGCTCCCACCCCCACCTCCAAATCAAACAGGCTTCTTTTTAAAATGAACAATGCATTGAAAATAATTAATAAGAGGCTTTGGCTTTTTAAAGTATATAGAACATTTTAATTTTATAGAGGTTAATTTCTAAATCTCTTATTCTATTTTAATTATTATGTATTGAAGGATCGTGAAAGCACAAAGAAAATAAAAAAATTTAAACTCTTGCCATACAATGATATCACTGAAAAGAGTCAAGTTAACACAAGTATTAGTAATTTATGTGATCTTAAATAAGATGTAACTGGGATAAAGAAAATTTCTTCTGATATGAAGTTCTACATCCCTTAAACTGCAAAAATTCAATAGCTACAGCTTGGGTGGCATTTAATAATTCATTTAACTAGATTTCATAGTTACTGCTCTCTCGCTTTAGAATCAAATTCCTTAATTTTTCAGGTAGAATCTGAATAATTACTATTACAGGTAGAGAGACATAGTTTCTACACCTGCTGGTAAGTAAATATTTCAAAAACAAGACTCATACAAAAGCTCTAAATATAGGTATTTTTCTTCCTCATGGCAGATTATCATAAGAAAAAAGTACCATAAAGTATTTGTGTACAATGCATAGTATACATTTAAATAATATTTCATACACATAAACAATAGTCATCACACTCACACAAAATTCTATTTAATGTTTTTGTAGAATCAGTTATAATCCTGCCTTATTTTTATTGCAAACAATTAAGAATGCTGAAAAATACTTTCATCAGGTGTACATTCAGGGTTTCCTTAAAAAAAAAAAAAGTTGACAGGTGTAACTGAGAAGACTTTTGGGGAAAATTGGAATGAATGGTGACCATTTTGAGATTGGATTGGAGTTTATCTGCTTTAATTGTTCCTTTTAATCATTGCTGATTGACTTGCAGCAATTTCAAATATACTTGCTGGTCCATCCTCCATTTATCCTCACATCTAAAAAGAAGAGAATCTTTTTAGCTTTGAGGAGATATTGTCTCAACAGCAATGATGCTGAGCAATGCCTATTTGAAAATGCACAAATCAACCCTTATTTAAAATGAACTATTCATTCTTTGATTTCTCAACATATCATTGCTCCAGTGGCTTTAATCATAGGTCACACTGAAAGGCACATAGCTGAATTTGAAACAGAATCAACAAAAATCAAGCCTTACTACTTAATCTCTTAAATTCTAAACTCTAAACACAGCTTTATCAGAGAAAGCTGAAGTCATTCCTAAAGCACTGATTTTTTTTTTATGGGCCATCTTAAAGGATTTTTTAAATGTTAAGTACTACTTGTGTCCATAAACACACAAGCCTCTTCTCTGCCTCACTCTTCTCACCTGAGGTCAAACACGTTAGCCAGACAGGCAAAAGGGATTTTATTAATCTGTAGTTTTGGATACCATCAAGGGGTCCATTCCCATTCTCTCCTTCCCTATTTTTCTTTTTTTTTTTTTTTTTTTCATTGTTTGAGACAAAGTTTCGTTGCCCAGGCTGGAGTGCAATGGCATGATCTTGGCTCACCGAAACCTCTGCCTCCCAGGTTCAAGAGATTCTCCTGCCTTAGCCTCCCGAGTAGCTGGGATTACAGGCATGTACCACCATGTCAGGCTAATTTTGTAGTTTTAGTAGAGACAGGGTTTCTCCATGTTGGTTAGGCTGGTCTCGAACTCCCAACCTCAGGTGATCCACCTGCCTCAGCCTCCCAAAGTGCTGGGATTACAGGTGTGAGCCATCACGTCCAGCCTCTCCTTCCCTATTTTTAACTCTTGTTCCAGTTTGCTACTTATTTTTTTTTTTTTTTTTTTTTTTTTTTTACCTAGACCAGGTCTCACTCTGGGTGGAGTGCAGTGGCTTGATGCTGGCTCACTGCAAACCTCTGGGGTTTGAGTGATTCTTGTGCCTCAGCCTCCCGAGTAGCTAGGACTACAGGTGAGTAGTGCATCACCACACCCAGCTAATTTTGTATTTTTAGTAGAGATGGCGTTTTGCCATGTTTGCCAAGCTGATCTCAAACTCCTAGCCTGAAGTGATAGACCCGCCTCAGCCTCTCCAAGTGCTGGGATTATAGGTGTGAGCCACTGCACTCAGCCCAGTTTGCTACCTAATTCTATTCCTTCTCTTCTTTGCCCTTCTGATGCAGAGCGCTAGCATTCTTGAGAAAACACCAAGAATGACTCAGCTGATGTGGAGCCAAGAGACTTACCCCTTAGTCAGGATGATGATATGGCATGTGCTTACGGGGGTGCAGGGAGAAAAGGTTCCCAGGTTGGGAACCAGGGATGCTTAAGTAGAGCACAGCAGGAAGCAGAATGACTGATGTTAGCTGATTTGTTTGCTGTCTATCTATTCCAAGTGCCAATAAGTAATAACATGGGTGTAACTGGCTGAGCACCCTAAATGCATGTGAGTGTAAGGTGATGTGCTGTAAGTTAAGGACTACCTATATATGCATTTACATTATTTAAGGGTATTTCCACAATGCTGCAGGCAGCTCCCAATTACAGCACATCACCTTGTTTACAGAGAGGTGGTCTTTGTGTACTACTGACATGCAGAGAAGTCACTATGATGCTATATAATAATCTTTAGGAATATGAAAGTTTAAGCATGATTTCAGATGCCCGATACATCGACACACAATTAAGCTAATTAGCATAGCCAAAGTCTCAGGTACACCACCCTAAACACAGAGCTTACTATTTTTATAACGTAATGAGGCATCAGTCAGCAGCAGCATCTAGCATGAAACTAAAAAAAAATTTTTCACTTTCCCTATTTGGAGAATTTGGCAGGTGTTGATGAAACTTAAAATAGACAATCCTCCAAAGGAAAGACTACTACTTTTGGAAGTCATACAGTGAAATCGATGCATGAGTTGCTCCCCTTACTGAGTTCTAAATCACATTACATTTGCTTTGTAAAGAGATGCTTGTAGAGAATGGAGTAGTAAAATGTAAAGGAGTTCATTGCTCCAGGAAAATTCAGGCACACTTCGTAGGGGTTGCTAGAATACAAATATAACTATCAGTGTTCATTATTTAGATGAAGTTGTTTCCAAAGCAACTCTAACAGTTATAAATAAAGCCCAGAAATGTTCGGTTAGGAAAATGGAAAAAAAAAAAGATAAAAATAAATGGAGTTTGAATTGCTTTAGAACGCATTCATCTATGCAGGAATGTATGAGAAAAAAGACTGGGCACCTTGTTTAGGGGTTTGGTGTATTAAAAATATTTAATTTCCAACAGTGATGCCTAAGTTTACATGAAATGTAAAATAAAATCTGAATTGCTTTTACATGGCAGGACAAATAAAAATTTCTTTTTGCAAGCGGTTTCTATTTTTAGCATATTATGTATACAAAATGAGTAGAACTAATCCGACAATAAATCATGTTTTCTAGATACTGAGTCTAAGTAGAGACTTTCAGAATAACAACAGAATTATGATTTTTCCATTTAATGTGTCAAGCAAGCTAGTCAATTGTATCACAAAACATGACAAACATATCTGCCCTGAAGCTACAGCTAGATTTCATGGAAAGAAAGTAGAGAAAACAGAAAGGGAAAAGGAATTCAGGAATGGAAAGGCAATGACCTAAAATATTATCTGTACAATCAGCTGTGGAATTCTTACCACTTTTGGTCTGAAAAAGAACATCTAAGAATAAAAGATTTTCTGATGTTAGGTCCCCATTTCAGGAGGGGAAAATGTACCCCACCAATTCTCTAATAATATACCAAACATTATTACCTTTGGCTACATCAGTGGCCCAGGTCATAATATGATCCATATCCATTTCTTCACTTCTATTACTGTTAATGTAATCATAGAGTGACCCAAGAGAAGCATATTCTATTTGAAAAGGAAAACATATAATTAAAACCAATGTACATTTCAGAAATAAGACTTTATATTTTCATTGAGAAAATACATTAAATAATTTAACAAAAGACATCAATAGTATATAAAAAATTGTTCCATGCCATGGTTTCAGAAAGTTAATGCATCCTGAAAAATATGTCAAACACAAGACCAGTAATATACAATGAATAGTAAATTTCAGTCAAGAGTCAAAAGTCATTTAGCTGGAACTGAGAAACATAAAGAGGTGATGGAAGAATAAATGTGAAACAAAGGTATGTAAATAGATATTTCTTTAGATATTCTTATAAGACAGATATTAAATGCATAAATCAGAGAGCTTATACGACAGTGTAATCAAATCAATCCTTGTTGCATAAGGACTTGGAAGAGCTCTCAAAATTTAAGCACGAGAGGTCAAGAAAAGTGAGAAAAATCCTTTAAAAATGAAGTATAAATTACATACCATAAAACTCACTTGCAATAAGTATATTATTTGGTGATTTTTAGGGAATCCATAGAGCTGGGCAACCATCAGCACAATCCAGTCTTAGAACCTTTCCATCTTTACAGTATCTTGTGCCAGTTTACAGTTAATCCTGCCTTTTCTGGATATTTCATGTAAACAGAATCATACAAATTGTTCTTTGTGTCTGACATCATTCCCTTAGCATAATGTTTTATTTATTTATTTATTTAGAGACAGAGTCTCTTTCTGTTGCCCAGGCTGAAATGCAGTGGTGCAATCACAGCTCATTGCAGCCTTGATCTCGGCTCTCTGCAGCCTCCACCTCCCAGGCTCAAGCAATCCTCCCACTTCAGCCTACCAAGTAGCTGGGACTACATGCACATACCACCATGCTAAGGCTGATTTTTAAAATTATTTTGAGTAGAGATGAGGTCTTGCTATGTTGCCTAGGCTAACCTCAAACTCCTGAGTTCAAGCAGTCCTCCCACCTTAGCCTCCCAAGTAGCTGGGACTATAGGCACATATCACCATGCTGAGGCTAATTATTATTATTATTTTTTTAGTAGAGATGAGGTCTTGCTATGTTGCCTAAAGTAATCTCAAACTCCCGAGCTCAAACATCCTACCCGTCTCAGCCTCTCAAAGTGCTGGGATTTCAGGCTTGAGCCACTGTGCCTGGTCATATAATGTTTTCAAAGTTCTTTCAAGTGGTAAGCATATAGGAAGGCTTCATTCTGTTTTATTGCTGAATACTATCCGTTGTATAGATATACTACATTTGGTTTATTCATTCTCCAGTTGATAGACATTTGAACTGTCCCAGTTTTTGGCTCTTATGAATAATGCTCATATGAACATTCATGTACATCTCTGCGTGTAAATATGTTAATTTCCCTTGGGTAGATTTCAGGGAGTGATATTGCAGGGCCATAGAGTAAGGTTATGTCTAACTTTTTAAGAAACTATCAATCTGCTTTCCAAAGAGGCCGTATCATTTTATATTTCTACCAGCAATGTATGACAGGTTCAGTTTTTCCACATGCTCACCAACAGTTGATATTTTTTTTGTTTTTTTTTTTTTTTGAGAAAGGGGTCTTGCTATCGTGCCCAGGCTAACTTCAAGCTTCAAACTCCTGTTGTCAAGCAGTCCTTCCCCACGACCCCTGCTTCACAAGTAGCTGGGATTACAGGCACATGTGACTGTGCCTGGCAGTACTGTCTCCTTTTCGGTTATGGCTATTGCAGTGGGTATAACACTAGTGGTATCTCACAGTGCTTTTAATTTGCATTTCCCTAGTGACTAACAAAGTTGGGCATCTTTTTAATGTGCCTATTGGCCCCTTTTATATATTCTTAAGCAAAATGTCTATTCATATTGTTTGCCCATTTTTACATTGGGTTGTTTTATTGAGTTCTAAGAGTTATTTTAGTCTAGATACAAGTCATTTGTCATATATATGATTTGCAAATATTTTTTTCCCAGTTTGTCATTTGTCTTTTCATTCTCTTAGGAGTATCTTTCAAAGAGCAGAAATTAATTTTTATAAATTCCAATATATCAATTATTCTTTTATGGCTGTGCTTTTGGTGTCATTTCTGAGAGCTCTCTGCCTACCCCAAAGCATAAAGATTTTCTTTTATTTTTCTTTTAAGAGTTTATAGTTTAACCCTTATAGTTAGGCTTATGGTCCATTTTGAGTTCATTTTTATGTATGGTCTGAGGTGTGGTTCTAATTTCCTTTTTTTTTGGTCATATGAATTTCTTTCTTTTTGAGACAAGGTCTCACTCTGTTGCCCAGGCTCAAATGTAGTGGCATACTCTTGGCTCACTGCAGCCTTGACCTCCAGGGCTCAAGCAATCCTCCCACCTCAGCCTCTCTGGTAGCTGGACCACAGGTGCACATCACCACGCCAGCAATTATTTTTTGTGCTTTTTGTATAGATGGGGTTTTGCCATGTTGCTCACGCTGGTCTTGAACTCCTGGGCTCAAGCGATCCTCCCATCTCAGCCTTCCACAGTGCTGGAATTACAGGTATGAGCTACTGCACCTGGCCCCAGCATATGCATTTCTAATTGTCTCAGCAATAAAATACTGTCTTTTACCTACTCAATTGTCTTGGCATCTTTGTTGAAAATCAATTGCCAATCAATATGAGGCTTTTTCTCTAGACTTTTAATTGTGTTCTTTTGGTCTATATCCCTGTAGATATTATGCCAATATTGTATTACGTTGATTACTACAGATTTATAAGTTTTGAAATGAGGCAGTCTAAGTCCTCAAAGTTAGTTCTTTCTCAAAATTCGTTTGGCTATTTCTAGATCTTCTGCATTTCCGTGTAAATTTTAGGATTGGCTTGTTAATTTCTTAAAAAAAAAAAGTCTGCTGGGATTTGGATAGGACTTGTGTTGAATTTATAGATTATTTTGGGGAGAACTGCCCTCTTGACAATACTGAATCTTCCAAACCATAAATATGTAAATGTCTATTTATTGAGATCTTTAATTTTTCTCAGCAATTTTTGTACTTTTCACTGTACAAGTCTTATATCTATTTTGTTAAATTTGTACCCAACTATTTTTTTTATGCTACTGTAAATGGAATTATTTCTTAATTTCATTTTTAGGTTGTTCATTCCTGGTATATACAATAGATTTTTAAGTGATTGACCTTTTAAAAGACTGATCTTGCATCCTGTGAACCTTCTAAACATGTTTGTTAGTTTTGATAGCCTTTTTTTTTTTTTTGTATGTCTGTGCATTCCTTAGGATTTTCTACATATAGGTTGTCAGATAACACAGTTTTATTTCTTCCTTTTCAATCTGGATGTCTATTATTTCTTTTTCTTACGTGATCACACTGGCCAAAACCTTTAGCACAACACTGAATAGATGTCAGAGTAGGACTTCTTTGCCTTGTTACCAGTCTTGGGGAGAAAACATTTAGCTTTTCGCCATGGAATGAGATATTAGCTGTGGGTTTTTGCAGATGCTCTTTATCAGGCTGGAACAATTCTCTTTTATTCCTAGTCTCTTGAGACTTCTTATTATCAGTGAGTGTTGTCTGTCAAATGCTTTTACAGCATCTTGAAATGATCATATAGGGTTTTTGTTCTTCTATGATTTTATCGTTTATAATAGTACGGATTTCAGATGTTAAGCCACCTTCCCTTTCTGGGATAAATTCTACTTGGAATTTATAATTTTTATGGGTGACTGGATTCAGTACGCTAATATGGTTAAGAATTTTTACATCTATTTTCATGAAGAATATTCATCTGTAGCTCTCATGTCTCTGTATGACTTTGGTATCAGGATAATAATGCTTGTTGAAATAGAATACTGGTTTCTGGTTTCTGTTTTCTGAAAGAGTATGGGAAGAATTGATGCTATCTCTTCTATAAACATTTTATAGACTTGACCAGTGAAATCATCTTGGCCTGAACTTTTCTTCATGGAAATATTTTAAATTACTAATTCAATTATTATTTTTTTGAAACAGTCTTGTTCTGTTGCCCAGGCTGGAGTGCAGTTGTACAATCTCGGCTCACTGCAACCTCCGCCTCCTGGGTTCAAGCAATTCTCAAGCCTCAGCCTCCCAAGTGGCTAGGACTATAGGCATACCACCACACCTGGCTAATTTTTGTATTTTTAGTAGAGATGGGGTTTCACTATGATGACCAGGCTGGTCTCGAACTCCTGGCCTTAAGTGATCTGCCTGCCTTGGCTTCCAAAAGTGTTAAGATTACAGGTTTGAGCCACTATGCCCAGCCTAATTCAGTTTTTAAATTTATTATAGGTCTATTCAGATCTTCTGTTTTGAGAATTTGTATCATTTAAGAAAACTGTTCACTGCATCTAAATTGTCTAATTTGTTGGCAAAAAGATGGTCATAACATTTCTTTATAATCCTTTTAAGCTTCTGTAGGAGCCATAGCACTGTTCCTTCTTTCAATCCTGATTTTGCTAATCTTCATCTTTTCTTTTTTCTTTATCAATCTAGTTAAAGGCTTGTCAAATTTATTGATCTTTTCAAAGACTAAACTTTAAATTAGTAAATCCTTTAATCTTTGGAAAGATTAATAAATCCAATAAACTGATTTTCATGATTGTTTTTCTGTTTTCTCTTTTATTGAGTTCTGTTCTAATCTTTATTATTTCCTGTCATTGACTCACTTTGGTTTTAACTGATTCTTCATTCTGTGGTTTCTTCAGATTAAGGTTTAGGTTATCCACTTTGGACTTTTCTTATTTTTGATATAGTGTTGAAAGCTATACATTTCCTTCTAAATACTGCCTTATCTACATTCTAGAATTTAAACCTTCTATAATTTTGATGTTACATTTTCTTTCACTCCAAAATATTTTAAAATCTGTGATTTCTGGCCAGGTGTGATGGCTTACACCTGTAATCCCAGCACTTTGGGAGGACGAGGCAGGTGGATCACTTGAGGTCAAGAGTTTGAGACCAGCCTGGCCAACATGATGAAACTCCATCTCTATTAAAAATACAAAAAATTAGCC